TTTGTACTTGTTAACTATGATTTCTGTACGATTCAGCCAGACCGAAAGTGATAAGTTATCCAGCATAGAATCTTCGTTGATTGGCTTTAGCAGAGCTCTCAGGCGCAATAACCAGTTGAACTTTTCTTCACTCTAAGATTGGGATTCAAAGAGCCTGAGTAGGCATATTTTTGGAAGGCGCGAATCAGGCATTTTCAGGACGCGTATAATCCACCGGCATGCATTTTTAATTACTTGAACCAAAATATGCTCTAGTCCAAGTTCTAACCGCAGCGCGTAATTTGGAGTGCACTTTGGTAAGGAGAAGAGACGTTTAAAGAAGTATAAATGGGGGGATTCTAGTTTATCCAGCAAATTTTGATTTAAGCCCCAGATGTGCGCCTGATAAGTTAGTGTAGATTTCACCATGCTATTAAATATTTTTATTTTACTATTCCAAGTATCAGATTTCAGTTTGGATAGCGTGTTTAGGACAACATTAGAAGCAATTTTTGCTTTTGTTACAGCCATATCGGTAGCCATGGTACCAGCACTAGACGTTCCCGAGAAAAAATATTTATATATAATTATATATATTTATATATAAATTGGTTATATATGATTATATATGAAAAATGGCCAAATATAATCATATCTAATTATATATAATTAGATATGATTATATTTGGCCATTTTTCATATATAATCATATATAACCAATTTATATATAAATATATATAAATATTTTTTCTCGGGCACTAATATAGTGAATAGATCAAGATTTATTAAATAATATTCATTGTCAAATTGATTGTACCCGGGGAAAAAAAATTATATATAATTATATCAAATTATATTTAATTATATATAATTTGATCTAATTTTACATAAAAATATATAAAATTTACTATAATTATGTATAATTTTATATAATTTTGTATAATTATGTATCATTTTATATATTTTTGTATAATTATATATAATTTTATCTACCAGGGAAAAAAATTTTATATAATAAGATATAGTTATATAAAATTATATATAATTATACAAAACTATTTAAAATTATGTATAATTTTATATAATCTATACTAATATTATGAAAAGGAAAGATTTGATTGTTTGTTTGTTTGTTGGTTTGCATTGAATAGGCTCCGAAACTACTGAATTGATTTAAAAAATTCTTTCACTGTTGGAAAGCTACACTATCCTCGGGTGAGATAGGCTATCTTATATTAATTTAAAACATTTTTCTATTTGTTCATTAATTTAAAAAATAGTGCTCCAAAGCTGCACCAAAGATACAGTTGACAACGCATTTGAGAAATCTAATGTAATTTTTCAATTATAAAATACTTTAATATAATCAGCGTTAAAAATTTTTTTTTTTGATAAATTTTTACTTATTTTGCAAAATGTTGAAAAAATCAATTGTAAAGGCCTTTCATTGTTAATAAAATGTGACCAAAGTATCCCACTACGATCCCTAGTGAAAAAAATTATATATAATTTTATATGCTTATATATAAATCATCTTATTTAAGGAGTGAGCTGTTAAAATTTCAAGGCGATCCGAATATTTTCCCGATAGTTAAATCATTTCTTTATAAAACTAGGCTTAAATTTGAATTGTTTATAATTTTTCTGCTATTAGTCGGACGTGGATGTTTTAAAATATATAGATGAATGTCTTTGAAGTTTGCCGTTAGTCACAACTTGCAAATAATTAGCTATGATTCCTTATTGGTCAAACGGGAAACTTTACTTACTATTGTTCAAGCCTAAGAATGTCGACATATATATCGATATGTATCGATATGTATCAAATAATAAAATCACTAAACAATGTATTACATTAATTTATAAAGCTTAGATTAGGAAGCATGTGGATGGGCACTGAAAATTTCTAATTTAAAGAAAATCATTACCGTTTTTTTTTTAAGCTCTACAATTCATTTCTGCACCTTGAAAATTTAAAATCAATTAGCTCGGAAGAAGAATTTATTTAATTAGCATTTTTTCAATTGCCTATTATTAATTAACAAATAGTGATCGTCATTCAGTTTGTTCTGAAATTTTATAATATTCTGTTGAACTATCTAGAAACAACCTCCCGAGTACAATTGAAGGTAATGTTATTTAATCGAGTAAACCCACGTAAAATTGACTATCTTTTTTGGACCATTCGACTGATTTTTTACGTTAACTAGTATTTGGAAAATTTAACAAAGAAGGTTTGCTTTTTATTTTACTATGTACTATGTATATAACAGCAGGTCAAATTGTTAGGAACTACTTTGCCCTCATGATCATATAACGTAAGTCAGATAAATAATGTTCTATAGCTGCATCGTGCAATCTGGATCAGTGGTAGCGCGCAGAACTGGCAACTAGAAGGACCCGAGTTCAAATCCCGTCGACCCTCATAATTTTTCATCAGATAGATAATCGCAAATATTCTGTGAGGTCCAATTCCTACTTATTTTTAATTTAAAAATTAAAAAAATTTTTTTATATAATTAAAAAAAAAATAATAATTTTTTTTTTATATAATTATATATAATTTTGTATAATTATATATAATTTTATATAATTTTATATAATTATATATAATTTTATATAATTATATATGGCCAAAACTCATACATAATTATATATAATGATTTATATATAATTATATAAAATTATATATAATTTTTTTTCCCCGGGCAGTCACTGACTTATGGGGTTTCTCAATTAAACGAGATTTATATCGACCGATTGGTTAGGTCTTGAACACGGATTTAGTATTTTTTGGTACTGGTATAAATGAGGGGAAATTCAAAGAAGCAAAAAATGCAATAAACCCGATTTTGAAAAAAATATGACTTATGGGGTTTCTCAAATAAACGATTCATTTATATGGTGGAAATAAATGGGCTTTTAAGCGATGATTTAGTAACTATTACTAAATATTTGGTAATGAAAGGTTTGTTACTAAATCTTATAAAATAGAACTAAATCTTTCTATCAGTGAATGCAAAAAATTATTTCATTTTAATTTAATAAATCAATAAGAAAACATGAGAGTGCAGTTCATCGGAGATAAGAAAGGAATATAAAGACAGAGATGAGAGACAGAATGTAATTGATTGAGTGGGACAACGGTTTGACGTGACCTGAACTAATCACAATTGGTCGTATAGCGGAAGAAAATAAAATCACTTACGGAGAAGCTCGAGCCTTCCGGAAAAACTACGTAACGTTTTCTTCTGGACAGAGATCTCTCGTCGGTGTCCGCCGGACTCATTGTATACAGAAGGATATACAACACCAGGATATATAGCGTCAATCCCCGGTGGCCCTTCTTCCACATCCCTGTCTCCGTTTTATATCTTTGATTCTTTTTTTGTCCTGTTAAATTACGTCCTTTCTTCCTTTTTTCTGATCCACCAGCAGAGAAAGCTCTCTTAAAAAACGTTGCACTTATTATTACAAAAGACATTACGTCGCAGCAGACCGAGAGGGTGAAACAAAAAAATGATAATCCATTAAAACTTTTGTATTCCTTTGGTCGGAAAGTAAAGAATGTGTTGAGTAATAAATGTAATATCTGCAGAGTATACTGAGATGGATGTTGCTCTGTACATTGTTGTTACGTTGATATATTTATAGTTTATTATTTAAAAGAAGCGATAAAATAAGTGAAACGGGATTAAAATTGATGGGAGCCATTGTATTAGTGTCCCGTGGCATAATAATAAGAGTCCAGAATGAATGAGTAAAGTAAAGTATATTTCAGTGTGCCGTACGGCGTGCGGCGTACGCTCGCGTCACAGTAGATGGAACTTCCTGCGGTAGACGGAAGATCGATCCCTCGGTGGGGTGGGGAAGGGGCGCGGGCCTGGAAATATCTCGTAACTCACTTCGGTAAGCTCTTTAGGAAACAGGAAATTGTTAGTTGGTAGAGTGAAACTGGCGAGAAAATGATCGATAGACATGACTACAACGATACTCCACTCTTTAATGTCCGGAGTGGAGGTCAACTCTCTACAACTATCTCGGCAATCTAGACAAACTTTATTTTCTTTCATCCTCTTTTCCTAATTTAAGCTTTCTTTAATAACTACATTTCTTAAAGCGATATTATTTTATTTTTTGGCATTAAAATAATTTCAGCTAATGTAAGAGTTTAATTTTTCAATGAAAAAGTTTTAATAATAATTTTTAGTAAGAAACAGAAAAGCTTTTTTTAATAATTTGATTTATACAATCTTTAAAGCTGTTAAAAAATTTTTAATTGCATCAATTATAATTTACATAAAAGTTATAACTTTTTATTCGAAAACTTTAGGGGTTTAATAAAATAGTTATGAAAAGAGAATTAATAAAATTAATCGTTCACGGGATGATTACTATATTAATTAATATTTTCATAGCTTTATATATATACATAAATTTTTATGCATAAAGTGTATAATAAAAAAAAAAAAAAAATAAAAATAATGATAGGATAGTTAAATATTTAAAATGAATATGCATAGAGAAATAAAACACGGAGAAGTTTACGCTTTAAATTAAATTTATAATAAATTGAACAACAGAGATATGAGGGACTTACCTGCAACGTGTAAAAATTAATATTGCCGAGTTTAAAAATTACGTGTTTTAGTTATTGTTTATTTTTTTTACCTCGAGAATATAACAGCGTGATAAAACAAGTACGCTGTGGTTAATGTTCAACACACGACACATTAACATCTATCTGTGGTATTTCTCTACTCATCACCACTTGTTCACGCAACGCTCCTACATGTCATATTCTCAGTTATTTGCTAAACAATTAGCTCTTCGCGAGATCTTGTATGTTCACTTAAATATTAAACGACTAAATTTGGATTTCAAAATACTATCCTCTTCTCGTAATAATCCATTAATTTTAATTTAAATTCAAATTGCCCGAGTAATTACAACTGGACTAAAAAAAAAAGAAATATTTTATAAATTCTGCTTCTCTCCATTACTATTAAATTAATCCCAACGACTTGGTAAGTCAGGAATTATTAAACCACCAACGCGTTACACCTTTCATGGGCGCCATACACAATTACCCCCACCTTGAACAGCTGACACGACTCTATTGGCTAACGTTAACCAATCAGCCTCGTCCGGTAGCCGTAGAGCGGCGGTGGTGGGGGTAAGCCAGTATCAATTCAACTGGTGAACCGTGAGGATATTTAAGACGCTCTAAAAATTATTTAAGGTCAAAAAATAAAATAATAACCCTGGTGGCGATAAAATACCGAAACTCTTTATGATTCTTTTTCCACTCGTAAATTCCAGCTAGGGCGTGGACTTTATTTCCGTTTTATAATCCAATTGTATCGATGACAACTTTATTTCCACTATTAGCATAATTCGGTCGGTTGTACTGAAACTCGGGAGTGCCAATGCTATTTACTGGTTATATGTCCATAAAAAAAGAAAAAAAAAACTAATTTAAAGTAATTCAAGTGAAGAAAACGTCTTTTGTATTGTTCTTGCCAAGAGTCGTGGTCATGAGGGAGTACCCTGGAACCGCGAGCGCGATGTTACCATTTCCCTATTGTCCTGGCCGGTGGTTAACCATAAATCCCATGTGACTAAAACCTCGACCCAATTTTAAAACTCTTTTTATTTTTTTTACTCCACTGAGAATACAATACCTTTCAACTTCAACTATTATTTCTCTCCCATCACTTATTATTTATTACTCTGTAAATATTGATATTTTATTCCAAAAATTCAGCATCATTATTCCTAAAAATTATTCACTAACAACTCCAATAAAGATATCGGACACTGATACGCTTTATGACAGTCATTCATCGATTGATACGCGATGTCATATAAATCTGGATTTTCTTCATCTTCTTCGTGGCTGGAAATAGAAGTTAAAGAAAAAAAAATACTATCGATTGTCTCCGATATCTGACGTAAACTAAGAATACATATATATGTATTACCTCAATATTACACGTAATAAATCATCCAAGAATGAAATCCCGGGTGGTTGTAAGAACATTTTCGATTCACATATTGTCCTCAGTATGCAATTCTTACCAGAGAACCCGAGTCTGTAAAAAAAGGTCACTATGATTTATATCTCCATTTATATAAATATCTTTTTTGGATACTTATTAACGTCAACATTATTTAACTTTTTCCTCTGAGCTGTTACGATATAACATATAAAGCGACGGGTAAAAATAAATATTTCTATTAATTGAATTTTATTCTTTCGACTATTAATTTCACTCTGACAGGTTTATTTTCCCTTTGATGTAAAATTTCCGCACCGAACAATCATGTAATAAACTTCTCGCTTTGTTTCAATTGATAAACCAGAGTAAATTCGTTAAATCCTATACAATTCCCAGCACATTTTCCCAATTTTACAATATACATATATCCACATAAATTGTGACATTATTGTTAATTACTTTGGTTTACACGATAGATAAATTTCGAGAGTAGTAATACTAATTTTGTAGTGTTGATGCTTGCCAGGACCTTTTTATTTAATTACCACAATAATTTATAATTAATCAATGACTGCGTTATTAATTATTCTCGAGAAATTTTGTTTAAAATGAAAAGCTCTTGAGAAAAATAATTAATAATAAAATTACCTTTGGAGAGCTAGTTCAAAAGTGTTGTAAAAATCTCGTTTGTGTCGACGTAGCTTGTGGTTTGATTTTTTTCGGATTATTTTTTTCTCAGAGGAAATTTCATCAGAAGGGATGGGCCAGATTATGTCAAACTCCAGATCAAGATTCCAATTGGTCGGCTCTTTGACTTGGATTGATTTCAAGCCTGTTACGGTGATCTAGAAGTTGGAGGTATATAATGTTAGCTCTAATGAGAGTAATAATAAAGCTGATGGGTGTAATTAATGGGAGGTTGTAAGTGTAATGATAGTTTGGTTTTAGCGGTAGATAAAGATTTAGTGTGATTTAGCTTACCACGAATGTGGTGCTCTTGGGAAACACCAGGTGTCGTCTTTTGCGATGTAGTAGTTTAGTAAAGTTAGCTTCAGTTCCAGTTCTAGTTCCAGGTGTCATAGTATCCAGAGGACACTCTGAGTTAGCAAGAGTCAACTGCAGAATCTCAAGAACACTTTGGATGATGAGGAACGAATGTTTAACTCTCATGACAAGCTATTTCTACGTGAAAACAAAAATCTTAACTTTTTTTTTCGAGTTTTGGCTCGATAATACTCTGAAGAGGGTAAAACAACTGCTAAATTCAAGAGAAGTTACTCTGATGAAAGTATGAAAGAGTCTTTTGGTGGATATGAAAACTCGTTCGACACCCGTTACTACCAGAACCAGAGCCAGAGCTGACAGATTGTTTGACGTAAGAGTTATCGGAGTTCCAGACACATCATCAGTACTAACGTAAGTCAAGTGTTATATCCGTCTTGTTTTTTTTTTTATAAAAATCTATATTATTAAGAGAATAAGAAAAATTTTGTTTCCAGGATAGTCATAAGATAAAATCGGTTTTTTTAATGAAATTTAGTGTCATTGCAAAGGTCTTGACTTGAATTTGTGCCTTTTCAAGGTTTCATTTCATTCTCACCTATATTCAATTATTATGATAAGTATTTAGGCTGCATTCGAAAATGCTCTATCTCTAGATACATAATTAAGAAATGACCTTGTATCTCGTGACCTATTGACATTTTTAAAGATATAAGCTCATCCCGATGTTACACTCATCAAGACCTTTCATTTAAGTACCCACATCAATTTTTCATATATTTGTATTATATATATGTATATATGAAAAATATATCAAAATGCATGTGGGTATTCAACCGAAAGCTCTTCATGAGTGTAACATCGGGATAAACTTATATCTTTAAAAACATCAATATTTAAAAAAGTACAGTGCAATTTGACAAAAGTCATTATTTAATAAAGTAAAATTTTATTTTTTTATAGTTCACAAGTCACGGCAGTCACGTAGTGACTGCAAGGTTGCTAGTTGTTATTATTATTCTGTAATCATCGAAAAAAAATTTTTCTATCAAATTTTCATTATTATACTTTTTCATATCCTGAAAGTTGATAAAATAATTTTTTATCAGGAAATAAAAACACAACTTTATTGGAAATCCCGGAGAAAATAAATGTTTTTATCAGTGAGACTCTTCTTTTATCATAAATCACAATCTGAAAAGCCACGGGGAAAAAAAAATAATCTAATCACAAAACAATGTATTGAATATATCTAAAAATATAAAATCCATAAAAGCTCGTGATAAAATAATATCATTTTTCATCAGTTAATTTTTTCTCATCACTTTTAATCTGACAAATAAACGCGCTATAAAATAAAGAAAGTCAACCAAAAAATCAACTTTTAGCAGAATTTTTTTCTTTATTTATTATTATTATTATTATACACACGCTGTATAGTTTTATAAAAAAGTTTAGCCTTTTAGTTTTTATTCATCTCTCTGTTGCTATGTATATATTTGTGCAGAGCACATATATGAGAACATATGAAGGATGTTGTTAGTATACGACGATGAACTGCGACACTGGCTCGCCGGCAGGAAATTACACTCCTGCATTTGTATAAATATAAATAGAAGTACATACTCGTGATATCTAAAGTTTTAATCCTAGATGACGTTTTCCTTGTTCCCGGTGACATTCATACGTATATTTTAATACTTCAACATAGGTAAATAATATTTTTATTCCTCTCTGAGCCATAAAAAATAAATTTGTCATAAAGTTATACGTAAATAATAATAATAATAATAATAATAATAATAATAATAATAATAATAATAATAATAATAATAATAAGAAAATTATTAATATCAAGCATGTTAGTGTATACAAAATGTTTATTAATATAAATTTCAATAAAGAAAAAAATATAATAAATTTAAGTAAAAATGATAGAGTAGGTATGCGGTTATTAATAAAATTCTACGGGGTTATTTTCATCCTCGTCATTTTAATACTATCTTTCTCAGTTACTTTCCCTCGAGTAGCGCTGTAAGCGTCTCATAAATTTATCACTACCAAGTTCAGTCCTCGGTGAATTTAACCGTTATCGATGTTAAATTATCGCTTAACCCCACGAGAAAAACTTATCTCGTTATTTCTTGTTACTTTTTCTTTATTTTATTTCTTCCTTTCTTTCTCCATCTCTTTTTTATTTTCTTCAGTCCTTAATTATATATTAATTCAATGTAAAAAAGGAATCTGAGCATGTAGGATACAGATGGTCGCAATCATTTATCGAGTCATGAGCAAGCTCGTACCGAGTTTTTGGATCGACGTCGTAAGAACCACTGGGTAAACTGTAAAGAAAATATTAAATAATATAGTTTAAAGTTATTTAATAAAATAAGCAGTTAATTGAATTAATGCTCGAGCATAATAACAAAATAAATAAGATTAGTTTTTTATGGGGCTTCGTGTGACATATGAATATATAATGTAATATAATATGAAATAGACAAGGTCGTCAGGTTTATAAATGGGAAACAGAAAATGGGAAAAGTGATTTTAATAACAGAGTAAATGACGTTGAGCACTCACGTGAATATAGAAAAGAGAATTTCTTGCATGAAGGTGCCTTTTCCGACATCGGAGTCATTTCTTCTTGCTGCTTGACAAAGAGCCTTAAGTACGCAAGCTTTTCCGTCTTTACCCCGTCTGCAAAGACAAAGACATCGTACTTTATTGTTAATCATTTATGTCTTCAATTTATCATGAAAATTTATTTCTCTCGCTCTCTCTTTTTAATAATAATTTGTTGGAGCTATTTTATTTTTTTTATGCTACTCACCACTGCCAGCCCGTCCAGTGCTACCTAACACAGCACCGGGGTGGGGGGAAGTGAGTTCGACCGAAATCACCGCTGTCCATCTTACAGCAACTTACGTGAATGTTGGAACGCTTCACGTAATAATTATCCGTAACTCCTATTCTTTCCCGCTTCACAGCATTATTTATATTTGTTAAAAATGCTAGCTGTAAGATGGACGGTGTGGCTTAATGTATATAGAATAAGTGAAAGGAAATTTAGTATAGACCGGATAGCTCAAATGGTAGAGTAGCCGACATGTCTTCGGAACGTTCTGGGTTCGGATCCCAGTCCGAGCTATCTAATAATTTTTCCTCACATATTCTATAAACTCACATTAAGAAGTCTTTCCTACCAATTATGTATCCTGTTACGTGAATGTTGGAACGCTTCACGTAATAAATATCCGTAACTCCTATTCTTTCCCGCTTCACAGCATTATTTATATTTGTTAAAAAATGTGGAACGCTTCACGATTTTGCGTGTCAGGTTTTTTAATATATAAATTATTATTATTATCATCATCCAACAACAATTTTCAGTCATTAATGATAATAATCCCTACTATCCCTACTAATATTATAAATGTGAATGTAAGTTTGTTTGTTACGTTTTTACGCGAAAACTACTCAACCGATCATAATGAAACTTTGTACCAATATTTTTGGAGGTATTAGAAGTAACATAGAATACTTTTTATTAAAAAAAAAAATTTATTTTTTACGAAAAATAAAAATATTGTAGAAAAATCTCAAAATCTAGCTACTTCAACGCTATTTAGCATGGCGAGCGAAGCCGCCGGTAAAAGCCACTCAGAAATAAATTTATCGAGAGTTTTTAAGCCTAAACTGACTTACACTTACTCTTTATTTACTTACACTAGGCACGCGGGCATGTAAAAATTAAAATTTCTGAATATCTCAAAAATAATAAACTATTCAACTTTTTAGCCTGAAAACCTTGTAGAGGATGCGAAAACGATTCGATTGGTATATACAACTGTTTGCAATCGTCTATTGTGTAATGACGATTGCTTATTAGATCTACTGGGTTACAATCAACCTCTTTCAATGAACTCTCTTGCATCCATGCTCGTATCTCTACGCAAAGATAGTCATTACTAATTTAAGAATATATCATATTTTTTAACGTTGCAATATAGAATATTTCTTGTCGTATAATGAGTTCTAAGTAATTTAAATATGTATGGAAATAAAATTACAACCTCCTATTGTATTAATTTGTAGATTATATAATACTATGATAATTTGTAAATCAAAGTCGCCATTCTGTATAGGAACATTGTATAAAGTGACTCTGTTAATGGCGTTAAGCTGTTGGGTCTTACTATAATAAATAAATAAATAAATAAATATAATGATCATCTCTACTATCTCTACTAATATCATAATTGTGAATGTAAGTTTGCTTGTTACCGTTTCACCCGAAAACTACTCAACCGATCATAATGAAACTTTGTACCAATATTCTTGGAGGTATTAGAAGTAACATAGAATACTTTTTTTTTTTTTAATTTATTTTTTACGAAATTTAAAAAAATTTTGCCGAAAAATCTCAAAATCTAGCTACTTCAACGCCATCTAGCATGGCGAGCGAAGCCGCGGGTAAAAGCTAAATAATAATAACTTACAATCTTGCAGTCACTATGTGACTGCCGTGACTTGTGAACTATAAATAAATAAAATTTTGCTGTATTAAATAATGACTTTTTTTAAATTGCACTGTATACTTTTTTAACTATTGACGATGTTACACTCATCAAGAGCTTTCATTTGAGTACCCACATGCATTTTGATATATTTTCCATATATAGATATACGTAATATATATAAATATATGAAAAATTGATGTGGGTACTCAAATGAAAGATCTCGATGAGTGTAATGTCAGAGTGAGCTTATATCTTTTAAAATGTCAATAGTTCACAAGATACAGGGTCATTTTTTAATTATGTATCTAGAGATAGAGCATTTTCGAATGCAGCCTAAATACTTATCATCAGTAATTGACTATTGGTAAGAATGATATAAAACCTTGAAAAAGCACAAATTCAAATCAAGACCTTTGCAATGACACTAAATTTCACTGAAAACCCGATTTTATCATATGACTATCTTGGACACAAAATTTTTCTTATTCTCTTGAAAATATAGATGATAATTTTGTATCTAGAATATTCAAAAGATTTTAATATAATATAGTATCAGACTGCGACATAATTTTAAAAGTCAATATTGAAGTAAATTTTGCTATTTAGAATTAAAATTAGTTTCTATGTTACAAGCACTTAATTGGAGCGGATATTATACTTCAGTAATGAGTAAAAACACTCCTAATTACTCGGATGATTGATTTGAATTATTAATTTAACGAATCAATAATAAATAATGTCAATCCAAAATCAATACGTTGGGTAAATTATTATTGTTAACTAAAATTACGGGTAATTATTTATGAACTGAGTGATGATATCAACAATAATAATAATAACAAAGTTTATTATCGTCGTAGAATGATAACAGGAAAATAAGCTCAACGTCACGTTACTAAATGACTCAACGTCTAGTCCGTGAAAAGCTTAACATTAGAGCGGTAAATATCAAGAGCCGTGTTGTAAATATGACGTTACACGGTTAAGAACCCACTGAAGTAGAAGTAGAAGGGTAACAGCTCAGTGCTGCTACTGACATCTTTCCCGGGGTGTAATAACCAACTTGCTGTACTTGTACTCATATAACTTATGAGTAAAGTGTGTGTAAATATTAAATGCAGATAATTCATGTTTGTAAATGTCGGAGACGGGTAATTGAGTGAATTTTAATATTATTATATTAATGAATATTTTTTTCCAAGCTTATGGTGATTTGTTTAATTATTTTGGCGGGAGGGCATAATACCAGGGAAAATGATGTTAGTAGAGGGATAACATCGTTAGAACTCATCGGTCGGACGGATATTGCCAGCCTCCAAAATCTATCCCCAGGGCATGTGATAGTACTGCAATATCGATATCTTACAAACTAAACCGAGCTATTCCTGTGTATATAGATTGTCTTAAGCTTGATAGCTTGCCATCAACCAGAGGTTATCTTTATTATATCGATCACTATCCATAAAGTATGTTTATTTATTATATACATCCAAACATATAGACAGGTTTGAATTGATAAAATTTGGTTATAAAAAATTTTATTAAAAAAACGTGAACATTATTTTTTTAAATAGAAAGAAAAAAATTTTTTTTTGTACCTGTAAAAAAATTTATTAATTCAAGAATTTTTCTACTTAAGGAGATCCAAGTACCCTTCTAGTGCACAGTAAAAAATTTTGCGTCATTGCGTCAAAAAATTTTGTGTTAAAAATTTTTATCTTAAATATTTAACACTTTTTTGTGTAAATTTAACATTTATTCTGTTCAATCAACACAAAAAAGTGTTAAATATTTAACACAAAAATTTTTAACACTAAGTTTTTTGAAGCAATGACGTAAAATTTTTTACTGTGTGTAAAGAATATCTATAAAAAAATAATACGTAGAAATACTTTTGTTATGTATCTTAAAATTAATTTTTAAATTAATTAATAAAATTTTTGAGGAAATTTCCGAAAAATTTCCTCATTAAATAATTATTAACATTTAATTGACTAATAAAAAATACAGCACTCTGAATTACCGATATACACTTGACAACACCGCAAGAGTTTTCTAACCTTAAAATTTATTTATGTTTACTGTCTAATTAAAATGACTAAGATCTTCTAGCATTTAAAAAACCGCAGTTACTTATGCGCCGGGTAACTGCGTAAGCGGTGTTGCCAAATCAAATACAAGACTTTAAAGAACGGAAGTTCCTTGTGATTTTTCATAAAAAATATAAAATATCTCCATAATACGTTCGGAAACCTACTTTGTTTTATTGTTTTAATCGAAAGCTTGTTATTTTTTCAATCAACTTCAATGAAAATAAAATTTTTTTAAAATCGTTAATTGCATTAAATTCTTAACCAAATACACGGCTGGTGGGATCTCCATTTACTTACATGTTAAAATTACAATTTTCAAACCTAATTATTTCATTAAATATCCCGGAAACCTACTGTCTTTTAATTTTTTTTATTGATTATTAAGCTACGTAGATTGAATTTACAAATTTTCAAGAAGTTTTAAAAATTTGACTACTTCGCGTGGATCTTCTTAAATAAAGCTCTTAAAAATTTTTTTTTGGTTCAAGAATTTTTTTTAAGCTTTCTGGAAGTTAAAAAAAATCTCATAAGTATTTCACAGCTTTAGTTTTCTTCGGTATAGATTTTTGTAAATTTTAAATTAGATTGATTTAATGACTTACGTGGTCAATATTGACTCGACTTTCGGATACAACTCTCTCCTACTGCGGCGATGGTAAACCTCGGCGGGTTTTCGATAAGGCACCGTGTCTCTGTGAGGAAGCTCCCAAGCGAGCCCCGCAGTCACACCTACCGTGAAGAAGCTTTCCGGCTTGGCATAGGTCCCGATCGTCAGACAGTAAATCAACTGCATTTACATTCATTATATTGTTTTTTCGGTCTAATATATTCGGCGGAAAAAAATTCGCCTTACCTGGACGTTGCTGCCCTGGGGAAATATTAGATATCTCGTTGGTAGCTCTCTTTTTGTTCTGTTAGACTTACAACCTAGATCGTTTGCCTCCGCAATTGCCAGAATTGTAAATAAAATTAATAGAGGAAAAAAACTCGGATTGATATTTGTTGTCATTTCGAGTTTAGAACTACAACTGACTTTTTACTCGCAGTACAGTGATAAATATAACGGTTTAACTTTTTAAAAACTCGCTAAGTACTCAAATAAATACTTATTGCTTAACTTCCGGTAATAAAATGAATTTTTATTAATAAAAAATATCTTTATTATACATATAAATGTTTGCAAATGATTCAACAAATTGTAAAGACAGGATAAAAAATTTTAATAAAGATGTCGAGTTGTTAAAAGTTCCCTCGGTGAATAGAAGTAAAAGTGTCAAAAGTCGAGTTCGTAAATGGAGTGTCGACAACTCGGATACTCTTGAGCACAATTCATCTTCGTCACATGAGCCAAATCGTAAATCTTGTGTTCTGATTTATCAAAGTTATTTCCGTCATTTCTTAATCTGTTAAATAAAATCTAAAGTTAGTTAACTTAACTAAAAAGTTTATCTATCTTTCAAAACTTTGATTTATTTTAATAACCCGCAATGACAGAAGGATTAAGTACGGAGTAATAAACTGATTTAGTAACAAAATTTTTAGTCATTTATTCGGGAAAAAAAATATTTTTTACCCATCAATATTATTTGTCACAGTTTAATAAATTATTTCTTTATTCTAAATAAATTATATTAATTTAATATAAACAAAGCTTTATTATATCGAAATAAATATTTGTTTCTACCAAATAATATTTAAAAGTAGTTATTAAATATTTTTTTGCTAAGTATTGTCGGTAGATGGCTCTGCTTTAACCCTTTAGAGTCTGACCTTGAAACCCCACTCTTGGGTCTTACTATGGATTTGCGCTCTCCCCACTACTCTCACGCGAAGACGTTTCAAGATCCTCTGACTCTAAAGGATTAATTCCAATATGACACATAACCTATTCACTGAATTATCTTATATTTTTCCTTACAGTTATTTATTTTAATTATTTTCATTTATTTTGAGTAAAAAAGTTAGGTTATACGCTAAAATTAGTTAAAAAATTAATTTCTTTAATACCAATAAACGATTTATTGAGTAGCAATAAATAATTTGTTAAATACTACTAAATATTTATTTTGTGGGAATAAATGGGCTTCAATAAATAATTTAGTAACTATTAATAAATCTTATTAAGTAAAATTAAATCCTTCTATCAGTGCGAAATTTATAATAACTTTACCTGAAAATCGCGTGTAAAACTTCTTGGACAAATGTACCAGTACCGATTTTATCATTATCGCGGTTTCTAGCCTCACAAATTGCTCTCATTACACAGGCTCTTCCATCAAGCCCAGCGCTAAAATCAAAATTTTGTCAAAAAAAAAATTTAATGATCTGTCTGACTATTTAACTATTTATCTACTGCCTTCAATTTATTTTAACGATGTTAGCATTAAATTCATTTAAGCTCCGACAAAATTTCATTAAAATAGAGAAATAGAGAGTCGGGTAGTTTATTTGTCTAAAGTAGGCTGACACTTTCTCAATTGCTTCAGTTGTATGTTAAATTAAATTTTTTTTACAACTCTAGTAATTTTTTTTCTTTTAGACAATATCTCACATACAAATAAAACTACTTTGGGAAATATATCAAGGGCAGAGAGAATACATTGGATAGAAAACAATATTGTACAAGCTTTTGCTTTTTTATTGCTCTCACCCTCGCTCTATATATATATATATATATATATATATATATATATATATATATATATATGTATAAAACTCTAAAGCACATATAACTCTATTCTTTCACCGTTTTATATTTTATTTCATTTCTTACACTATTATATACACACATATATGCATACGTAAAGCATTTTTGCATATTTACAAAGCATGTCAGTGTATTGAAAATGCAAAAGTATTTCACAAAAGTCACGATTGAGTCTCTATGTACAGCAAAGACATCGAGTAGTAAATAGAAACAGCAAAATATACGGCTACTTTTTATTTATCGCGAATATTTTGGTATTGAAAAGAGATACGTGACAGATGAAAAAGCTTCGAAAGTGTCTCTACATTTTTCCGACAATAATAATAATAATAATTTACAACCGCAATTAAAATAGAGTAAAAAAAATAAAAGAGCTGGGTAAAAGTTTTATAATTGTTCGGAAACAACTTGTAATGAAAATAATTTTCATTTGTTGGTTAAATTATTTTTCCGAGCAGTTTACCTTGGAAGAAACTTACGACTGAAGGAAGGCTTCGATTTTAGGAAAGACCAGGCTTCTTGTTCGCCGGTGCAGTAATTTAGTTATTTTTTTATCGACTTGACTCGGGAGCTCCCAGGCCAAAGCAGCTGTCATTCCCACCACTATTTGATCCGGGCTTGGGGCAAACGCTCCAATAGTTAAACAATATACCAGCTAAAGAAAATATTATTTTTATTATTTTAATTTCACCGAATAAAATTGTTTAAATAAAAGTCAATAGATGTGAATATTACCTGAACATTGCTACCTTGAGGAAATATTAAATATCTTTTCTGTCGTGACAAAATATTTTCTTGGGCATCAGTGACATTCTCAGCGTCTGCGACAACAATCCCTAAGCTTAGACAAACGAGGCAAAATATTCCGTGCTTCTGTAACCAGGATAAATAAAAAGTAAAAAACCGCTAAAGAATGTCATATAAATATTACTTTTTTCCTATATATATATATCTATATATTTCTATTTTTTGTTTATTATTTCTTTAGACACAAAAGAACGTACGTTTGTCATTTCACCGAACATATTTTTCTTTGCCAGCTTGTCCGAGCCTTGTCTTTCAGCTATTTCCACCTATGTACTTTATTTGTATTACCTGTCCTTATTGCTCTGTATATATTGTATATAATTTTTTTCTATATTTTTATGCTACTGTTATTATCATCACACACTAGACTTTTTATAGACAAAGAGAGCCCAAATAGAAATAGAGTTTTTATTATAAAGAACTCGAGAAAACTAGTGTGTCTCTACCAGTAATTTTCAATGCCTCGACCTTACTGATAATTCTCAAAACCATCAAAGTTTAGCATTAACTCGTGATAATATCTTGATTCAACATCCCACAAATCCGTTATATTATTTTTCTTTATTAACACTAATTTTATTTTATTACTTTATTATTTATTATTATTTATTCATCGATTTAGTAAATTTTAAAAAATAAAAATCAGTAAATAAATTTAATTAAATAATTTAGAATTTTAATGTTCAAACAAAGAAAATATTCAATATTTTTGAAATCATTCCAGTTAAATTTATGTAATTTTGATAATTGTTTATTTATATATCCAAACTCAATATTAATTATTTATTTCACGTCTTAAAAAAAACCCGAACGCTTTATTTTTAAAACTTTCAAGAAAAGTAGTGCTCATATATACTCGTAGTAAAATTAAGTAATTTGAATGTTACATTATTATTTTTAGTTGCGAGTCTGTTGGATCTTTTGATCTCCGATTCAATTTTTAAACATAACTCGCAGAAATATTCAATAAAAATTTTACATACAACAAAGTCTAAAAAAATTAGAAAAACGGTTCACCCTAAAGGCCATCCCTGCAACTTCCCGCTCATTTTGTATTTAAATGCTTCAAACTACACATTACGTTTTTGAGCTCTTCGAGTTCAAAAATATTATTTTTGTGTCAATTAGAGCTCTTCGAGCTCAAAACTCTATAGCAGTTTAAAGACACAATTTTTTTAATTTTCAAACGGCAATAACTTTTGAATGAATGAACCGATTTTCAAGCGGTTGGCGGCAATCGACGCAGTTTTTGAAGCTCCATGAAAAATTTTCAAGTTTAAATCGATCGAGTCATGAATTTCGAAGTTATTACAAAAAAACCCTTTTTTCGATTTTTTTCGACAACGATATCTCACGAACGCATCAACCGATTCTAACGTTTTTGGTGACGATCGATGAGGGTTTTCAAGGTTAAGAGCTGATTAGTTTTTGAGACCGATCGGTTCAGCCAATTCGGAGATATGTAAAAAAAAAATTAAAAAAAAAACAACTTTTTTTTTCACTTTTTTTGCATTTTCTCGAAATCTACCGGTCCGAATCGGTTCAAATTTTCAGGAAATCTAAGTTTAGTAAAGCCCTTTCGAATGACACCAACCACGATGAAATCGGTCGAGTCGTTCAAAAGTTACAAGAGGTTTACACACACACACACACACACACACACACACACACACACACACACACACACACACACACACACACACACACACACACACACACACAGACGTACGGACATCATCGTAAAAATAGTCAGGGAAGCTTCCTGTGACCTTCAAACGTCGAGATCTGATGAAAACTCGATTTTTGTAAAACGGGGTAAAAATATTTGTTCTGGGAATAACAATTTATTGATTGAAAGAAGTACACTTGAGTGAAATTACAACAATAGAATGGGTAAATGGGTTAGAAAAAAAATTTATTGGATTTACAGATAAAGGTAGTTTAGTGCTCAGAAAAGTCATCGATACTAATTAATTGCAGAGGACAACGGCGTGTATATCGGTGGCACTCAACCTCGAAGTCCTTCTCGTCAGTACAATTGGTGCAATTGGTATTTGATGTTCTGAAATCACAGCCAGTTAGACCTTACAGTGAATACTAGTAGGCATAGATATATGTAGGTGCATATTACTGAGATTCACACACATCCGCTTACCCACACGGTTTAATAAATTTAATAAATGTGCGAACGTAGAGAGAGTAGAGAGCAGAGCAATTGAGGACTGAGGATTGAGGATATGAAAATGAGTGTAAGAGAGAAAATTAGAGCAGAGAAGGCCAGATAGATGATGAAACTCGATTAATTGATTCGAGTGTGCATTCCTAGAATAATTCAAGTGGTTCATACCGCGCTAACAATTTTAATATCTTCGCCATAACGCCGTCCTCACGCTTCGCGTACCTCATCGCTTCGCAAATGTTTCGTGCGAGGCAGGATTGACCATTAAGCCCGTGGCTGGAGCAAAAAATTTTAAATATTCATTTTAATTCGCTTATTTATGAAAATCTATAAAGGGCGAAAGGATTAAAAAATTAAAAATAAAATTACCTCTGGTACAAAAATTTAATGTCATCGTGTAAATCATAAATAGACCGCTTTTGTTTGGTGTTGGTGCCGTCAGGTAAATGCCAAGAAACTTTGAAGCCCGAAGCTTGGTTGAAAATGGTCGTCCAGCCAACAGAAGCTATTTTATAGTTGAGTCGATACTGCCAACGAAAAATCATTACTTCCATACAATAAAAATCTAAATATATTATATATTATCGCCCAAGAACGACAATATGATAGAGTGTTGTTCAATAAATGTAGATTTTTTTTATTAAACCGATAAATTTACAGATTTTTATGTCGAATAAAAAATAATATAAGAGCCAAGTAAAAAGTCCCACAAATTCAAGCTAAGAGTGTTGCTCAATGAGACAAATAGCCTGTGAGCTGAGGTTGAAGCCAATATTAAGGACTATCGAGTCTGCATCAACGGCTAGTAGACGTAGACCGAGTAAAAAATAAGAATAAGTAAGTGAGTAAGTGAGCCAGTAGACTCTGTGTATGTGTGTGTGTAAATGATGGAGACGACGGAGCAGAATAAGGAGCAGAAGGAGTAAAAGGTCGTAGTCGGCTGATCCTGGCAACCCATTTGTCATTGACTCTGCTACATTCTACGCTAAAACACTACAGTCTATAGTAGTACTAAAGTGTGTAGCAACTCGCTAAGAGCAACCAGACTCTTCTGTTTCTTACAGCCGAGTAATATAAAAAGCGTCAAGATCTATTTGTATTCGATACACCCAGCTCCCAAGATAAGGATCCGATGACTTAAAACTTTTATCTATTTTTCACAGAGACAGCCTTCTCTTCTTCTTTATTTTATTCTCTTACTGCCGCTGTAAATAATTCAAAAATATTTATAAAATATCTTGTACTCACAAAAAAAGTGCTGCCTTTTCGGAACGCGAGCGACCTGCGATAACGGTGCCCGTTAGTTACGACAAAATCATCAACTAAAACAACAACCAAAATCAAAAGTACGAGCTTTGAAGTCATAGCGTCTTTAAGTATATAAGTGTATACGTATATATTTGTACACTGGGAGGGTGCACAGCTATCGTCTCAGCTCAAATCCTTAACCACTGGCAACCGTGTCACGAAGGAAAGTTACTGGGATATATCCTTAGCAAGTTTACCCAGAGTTTCCGACTACGATTTATCCTCAGGAGTTAACCTACCACCACCAGCACTACCACCGTCTCTTCCACTTCTCTTTTCTCACTTGTACTCTCTTTTATGCCAACAACAACTTCCTCTGGGTGATGGCCCGGCCTGGCTCATATTATATAAATTTTGCTCTATTCCTGGTGAGCCTTCTCGGCTCTTGTACTTTCTCATCACATCAGATTCTGAACAGCGCATTCTGCAGCCCTCTTAGTCTCCATAGTTGCACTTTGAGCCGCCACCTCCTGCTCCCTCTCTTACGTATTCTACTCTCTGCTCGTGAATTTCTAAACCCTTGATATATACCTTCAGCCAATTAGTAACAAGGCGGTTTGTCTTGATTCCGTGAGATTCTCCTACTGGTTAATTTAATTTAATTTGTACTTTGCTTCGATTTAAATCAACGATACAAATTACATGATACACTCACTTACTCGTTTTTTTACTTATTTTTACCCGAGGAAAATTGATCAAGTGACGAAACGGTGATTATGGTAATAATGAAGGTTGTTAAGGCTTGGTGAGTTGTATTAGCATTGCAGAGAGGCTGTCTCAAATGGGCTTGGGCCAAACTACAGCTCTGCGCTGGTTTTGTCGGGTGTACAAAGGTCGTTAGTCTGCTTTCGGTAAACAGTCCAGGTGTCCGGTTTGCTCCATGACATATCTGTATATTTTGTCTCGCTGTGTACCTCAGTAAATGTCTGAAGGCAAACAACCGAAGGCTTCTGTGAATTTATTTTGAATAATTTGTCAGCAAACAATCTCGATTTACGGTCAGAGGAGAAATATTCACTAATAAATAAAAATAATACTATATTATTAAGAGAATAAGCAAAATTTTGTCGCCAGTGTATTTATATGATAAAATGGGTTTTTATGGTTTAACAGTGAGAATTTTTGAGATGAAATTAAATGTCAACAATGGACTCAAGTAGATCGGTGTTCCTTAGAGACCATTATTAAATCAAGTAACGATTTTGTAGATGTTTTAATAGAATCTATTCCAAAATTGGTTCATCATGACTTCGTAGCTCAACAACAGGCAGAATATTTTCAGCTTACACAACCACACCTCAAAGTTGAACAAGTACTTGTTGTTGCTGATTTTTCTGAAAATTATTCGTTTATACTTCAAAATAGCATTCAAGGAGTATATTGGAATAATACATAGACGACATTTCATCCATGTTCTTTTGCCCATTTACAAAGTTCTTCGAGTGTCTGAATTTGGTCATCAGTCGTTAGCTGAAGATTGGCTCGACTGGCATTTTAACTTCTAAAAAACTCTTGGACTCTATCTTCAGCAGCTTTCAGTAAAGAGTGGCCTGTGTTTTCGTCAGTAATAAATAAAATATCATCTTGTTGTACTTTTTCTTTCACCTTTTTTATCATGCACTGTAAAAAAAAACCGGTGTAAATCCGGTGTTAAATTTAACACCGATGTAACACCGTTTGCGGTGTAAATATTTTTTTCAGTGTTAAAACGGTGTTAAACGGTGTTATAAATTTTCCGGCGGTATAAATTTGTTTTAATTAACACAATATTTATAATCGAACTGTACATCTTTAATAATTGGAAATAAATAATAAAAGAAATAATAAAAGAGGAAGATATTGATATTTAAAATTTTTTTCACGTAAAAAGCAATTTGAAGCTAAGCATAATTACTTCAAAAACTTAATTTTTCTATACAAAAATTATATCAATGTTCCAAAAATGTTGGCCACTCAGCACCAAAAATTCATTTACTACAAATGGAATGAATTGAACGAAAATGACAATATTTTAAAACTCGGAAAAGGAAAATTTGAGAAATTCAGAAATTTATTTGACAATATTCCATATCATGAAGTAAACTCTGATGAAGCTTTAACTCTGAGCAGTGTAGTTTATGAAGTATCAGAGTTTGAATTTCACTTTACCTACAAGAAAAATATTTTCGTTAATGATAATAATTTAATATTTTACTGTAAATTATGGAAGACTGTTTGTTATGATGCGAGCTTATGTGCAAATGAAATAATTGAAGAAATGGAAGAAAAATATCAAATAGTCAATATTAGTTTTTCGGATTTGAAATTTCCACTACCTTATGAAAAACATCAATGTTATGATAAATGTACACAGTAAAAAATTTCGGTGTAAAAGTTGGACTCAGAGACTTCTACACCGTCGTGTAAATGTGAAAAGTCGGTGTAAAATTTCCGTGTGAAATTTTCACTCGTGTAAATTTAACACGATGTAATTTACTGTTTTACACTATTCCGTGTTATTATTTATAACTTTGCAAACTTAATATGTGACTGCCGTGACTTGTGAACTATAAATAAATAAAATTTTGCTTTAGTGAATAATGACTTTTGTTAAATTGCACTGTACTTTTTTAACTAATGACTTTTTTAAAGATATAAGCTCATCCCGATGATACAATCATCAAGAGCTTTCATTTGAGTACCCACATCAATTTTTCATATATTTATATATATTACATATATGTATATATGAAAAATATATCAAAAATGCATGTAAGTTTCAAATGAAAGCTCTTGATGAGTATAACATCGGGATGANNNCTAGCAACCTTGCAGTCACTATGTGACTGCCGTGACTTATGAACTATAAATAAAATTTTGCTTTATTAAATAATGACTTTTGTTAAATTGCACTGTACTTTTTTAACTATTGACTTTTTTAAAGATATAAGCTCATCCCGATGATATACTCATCAAGAGCTTTCATTTGAGTACCCACATGCATTTTGATATATTTTTCATACATACATATATATAATATATATAAATATATGAAAACATGATGTGGGTACTTAAATGAAAGGTCTTGATGAGTGGAACAACGGGATGAGCTTATATATTTAAAAATGTCAATAGTTCACAAGGTACAAGGTCATTTCTTAATTATGTATTTAGAAATAGAGCATTTTCGAATGCAGCCTAAATACTTATCATCATAAATTGACTATTGGTGAGAATGATATGAAACCATGAAAAAACACAACTCCAGGTCAAAACTTTTCCAACGATACCAAATTTAACCATAAAACTTTTACTTTACTCCGTAAAATAGCATAATATCAAAAAAAAATATACTTTAAAATATTTATTTCTACGTGTTTATATTTAAAATCTAATATCGTACAAGCCTGAAACTAAACAATCAAATTATATTAATTAATGAGAAATTTCAGGAAATACATTTACACGTTTGATGGTGTAAAATTTAGAATTCACACCGTTCAAATTTAACATTACACTTACTGTGATTTTCACACCGTCCGTGTTAAAAATTTTTACACATAATCATTTACACCACACCGAGTCCAAAAAATTTTTTACAGTGTAACTACTATATAGTTTCTAAACATTTATTACTGTAAATATTTAATAACTTGTTGTATTTATTATATTAAGTTAATTTATGTTTTATTTGATTTTAATCTAATTGTAAAATAAACATTAATTTGTTCAATTTTAATTAATATCTAATATTATTTAGTGTTTCATAAATTCTTTACTGATAATACACCGATACGGAGTTACTGTACACCGCTGTAACACCGATTTAACACCGAATTTTTAACACCGCCGAGAACCATTTTAACACCGGTGTTAATTGACCGGTGTTGCACAGCGGTGTTAAAATAAGTCCATTTTAACACCGCTTTTTTTACAGTGTGTATGTTGATGCGCCAAAAATATTTACAATTTTTTCTGTTGACCAACTTGATGGTAGTACAGATAATGTTTGCATTTTTTTATTATTGAGAATAACAAAATTAAATAATTATTTAACTTAATATCATGCAAAGTTTAAAAAAAAAAAAAAATTTTTTTCCCAAATTCAAAAATTTATATCTTCGAATAAAAAAAACCCCCCTCTTGAAAATTTCAGGAAATTATAAGATTAGTAAGAGGTACTCTGTAAAGAAAAATGAGCCAAAAATTTCGTGGCGGGCTTTGATTTTCACGATTTTTTGAAATTCAAAATTTTTCCACTTTTTGATTTTTCAAAAATTTTACCCAAAAAAAATTTTTTTATAGTCTTAAGTATCCCTTTTAAAATGAACTTTGGTCCATGTCAGTAACTATAACAGTTTTCGAGATATTACAAAAATAAATTTGAAAAACCTGAATGGCGAAATTTTGAATTTTGCATAACTTTTCGATAAAAAGTTTTTTTATTTTTTCCTTTGGCACAACTTTGTTTTATGATGAAAGCAAACTTGTGACTAAATTTTATCCAAATCGGAAGGGGTCGATTCCAACTATTGGTCGATTTGACATGGAATGACCCATATATGAAAAATATATCAAAATGCATGTGGGTACTCAAATGAAAGCTCTTGATGAGTGTAATATCGGGATGAGCTAATATCTTTAAAATATATATTAGATATATGAATATATGAAAAATAAATCAAAAATGGATGTGGGTACTCAAATGAAAGCTCTTAATGAGTGTAACATCGGGATGAGCTTATCTCTTTAAAAACGTCAATAGTTAAGAAAGTACAGTGCAATTTAACAAAAGTCATTATTTAATACAGCAAAATTTTATTTATTTATAGTTCACAAGCCACGGCAGTCACATAGTGACCGCAAGGTTGCTAGTAAATAATTATCGAAAAGTTTTATTATTAAAAAATTAACAGGTGATTAAAAATAATAATAAGAGTGAATCCGTGATATTGAATCGAGTAATCCGTAGCCCTCGGGACAATGTGAGTAGATTAACGCGCAATCATCTCGACGTCTACCAACTAGAGCAGCTTCTGTGTAATCCTTGTCAGCGAACGTCGAATTATTGCCATAGTCTGGCCTGTAAGTATACATATTAAATAGCGTTATTATCAAACATCAGATATCAAACAGTGTGTGTTGTCTCTAAAGCATGCACCACATATGTGTCTAAGAGCTTTATTTGCTGGGTGTTTACGGGCGTACAACCGGAGTTAGCTTCTAAATATTTAAATCCTCGGTGATGAAATAAGTTGACAAAGTAATAAAGTCTTACGTCAAGACGACGTGTAGCAAATTTTCTACAAGAGTTTCACGGTTCAGCGGAACACTTGACGCCTCGCATATACTTTTTAGCATACACGCTTTTCCGTTTCCGCTCCATCTGAAAACAACCAAAAGAAATAAATAGTTCAACCCTTTAGTTTTATTCGCAAATAATAGAGCGGCTCTTAAACATGCTAGTGCCATCTAGCGGCTAACTGAGATACTTTTTTTTATACAATTGAAATAATTCATTTATTTACATCTACAATAAAATTATTCAGTTGGAAAATTTGCAAGATAATTTCTTGTAACTTTTAAAATTTAGTCTCAATAATTGAATTCAATTTTATTTTCTTCAGTGCATTGAACACTCGAGAGACCGTCGGTATTCGGTATTATAAAAACGATCCAATTAGTTTGGACGATAAATTATTATCGATTGTTAGTACTTGGATGATTAAAAGTTTTTATAAAATGTTTTATTGTTTTAAACTGAAAAATATTTAAGTAATTTATCGAGCTTAGCAACTTAAAGCAACTTAAATTGTTGTAATTATTTATTATTGCTTGTACCGTGAGTTAAGCTTTTGCAGGATTTATATTTCTATTGTAATTGTTATTATCGAAGCAATTATATGTGCTGTGAAAAGATTTTGTGATAATTAAAGAGCTCCTAGAAAAGTCTCTTACATTTTATTGGAAACAGTGGAGAGAGGATCAATAAATTTGCAACAGTAAGCGAGAAATTGGAGAAACAATTAAGATTTAATTTTTTAATTGAACGGATTTTTCATTCAATTGCATTCAATATCAATTATATTAATAATTTTAATGGATTTGTAAAAAAAAAAATTTTTTTACCTTTGCAATTCTTGCTCAACTAATTGATAAAATATTCTTCTTTCATCATTACCAGTTATGGACCTGCGTCGACGTTTTAATGTCGAAAAATAATGGGTTGAATTTTGGGGTAACGGGTATTGAAATTGAAAATTTTGACTGTAGCTGAGTATTCTTCTTCCAGTTAATATCGGCACTGAAATTCCTAAAAGAAACTTTGAAAAAAAAAAATATTTTACTCTTAAATATTGACTGAAAATATAAAACGATTTTTATAAAAATATTTCGAGGGAATGACAAAAAGGTATTTATTGAAAAAACACGAGAATTATTATCGATTTGTCGATAAAAAATGAGTGTTTGATATTTGTATTAAATTTAAATTTGAAAGGTGAATTTTATTGAGGAAAATACAAGGTAATAAAAGAGTTTTTGTCTGTGGATAGTAAAGATGGGGAAATAGAGAGAAAGAGTAATGATGATGTCATGAAAGTACACATAAAGGTAGGTTTATTAAGGGTGTCTCGTATAAGAGAAGAGGAAAGTGCATGTGGATGGCAGCAGAGAGCTTGAGGAGAGATGAGGGATGAGGAATGAGGAATGAGGGTGAAAAGAGGTGAGCGGCCCGGGGGGAGCTAAAATACCAGCGAACGAGAGACAAACACTGAAGAAGAAGTTACCAAGTGCGACAGAGATCCCCCCCGACAAAGAGACCCACCCGGATAGTTGAGAGCAACGACACGACAAATAAAATCCCATATCCAACGGGATGATGTTGAAAAAGGGTATAAAATTACAGTCGCTCGAAAGGTAGACTTGGCTTTTTTTCTTTGGTCAGAGTCGAGCTTTTTTTCTATTTTTTTTTCTCCTCCCCTCTCTTTCCGCTCGTATTTCAACTTTTCGAATTTACTATTATAATGTGTGTCGCATGCCCATTTTTATCCTCTGACGATCTGATATTACTCTTACCCACGAAACGAGCTTTCTTATTATTATTATTACTATTACTATTGCTGTTACTTATAACACTAACCCCCCTTTTTTTAGACCCGGCTATTTATTATTAAATTCATCATTCCTATGTTAATTTATCCACTTTTTTATCCTCAACCACTGCAGTACAATAATAAATGTCATTTTTTACGGTAATATTTTTGCCGGTCTAAAAAACGTCCAATTTTAATGTTTGACTATTTTTTTATTTCTTTGCCGATAAAATTTTTTCCCAAGCCTCAATATTGAGTCGTAAGGATTTCCAAGTAAATATCAAAGACCCGCGGGCAAAAAGTTGATCCTAAACAGCCAGAGCTTTTTTTGGTAATCCCAAGCCTGTATCTCTGATGTGTTTATTTTTTTTTTGCCCAACGGCAATAGTAAACAACTCTGATCAATATTTATAATTCTCATTAAATAAATAACCCATTAAATGTTGGGACTTTCACTAAAATATTAAAAAAATAAATAGATAATTATAAATGATAACATTATTAGTTATTAGTTAATACAATCGATAAATTAGATCCATGAATTTGTACATGTAAATATAAATTTATAGATGTTAAATAGATAGAGTGGAATAGTGAGAAGGAATAATGGTTAATTATCGATTAAACCAATGAGGTGCGAGGATGCGGAAGATCGTTACCGGTCTAGCCATTTTGCCCGGGAGACATATCCAGATAATATAATAGAAGCTATTACGAATAAAGTGCTACCTTCAGGCAATAAAAATCCACCGGATCTGTAAATAAAATTCGTCTTTATTCTCGTCTTCAGCTCCCACTTTAACTCACCCGCAATATTGTCTAGCGACGTCGATAAAAAATACCGCTAAATAAAACAACAAGATTGTAAAGAAAGGAACGTTTTACGTGACAGAAATTTCACCAGCCGATCAATAAATAAATAAATAATATAAAAAATAATTGTTGTGATTATTAATTACCTTATATGCTCCACCGTATGGATAGACAATCGGTAGTGCCGGATATATTTGTTTTAAATTTGTTTCACTCGCCGTACAATAACTTTTGATGGTACTTGAACCGTAATATAGCTCAATAAATAACAAAATAATGACTTTTTTATCAACTCTCCTCCAGTTTAAATACATTTTCTCAACCTCTATTTATCCTGAAGATAATAAATTAATATTAAAAGTATACTCTTGTTTACCTTCGATTTACGGTCACTTTTTAACCGATTCTAGTTTAATAAAAGCATTAAGGCCAAAGTTTTTATTAAAATTAAATGGAAAGTTGTTAAAAATTACGCGATAAAAATATTATACAATACCTGGGATGAACGTTAAGTAAATACAATTTGGGTGAAGTACTTGAGAGGTGATTCGGCGCAACCGGGATAACTTGAGGCACAATCACCACCAGATTTCCCCAATAGTTCGGCTCGGTGGTACAATTTGTCGATAGAACGGTGGCTTGAATTAACCGTCTCCGGTAAGTCTTCCGATGGTCTGGATACCATAAAAATTCAATAAAATATAATATGATAACGATTACATCTCTTCGAAATTCATAAATCTAGTCAATATATAATAAATTTCATTTTTCCGTCACCTAGTTTTTAATTGATCCTCCACGCGATAAATTTATTGGATCAATAACTTGACCGGTTATTTAGCAACAAAAATACGGATAAAAAAAGGCAATTTACGGTAATAAAAAAAATTATAAGATAATTTTAGAATAAAAGCTCATAAACCCAAGAAATAATACGGTCTAACGATAACCTAACGAAGCTTACAGTATAACTTTGACTAACATCATTCATATTCTCTCGTTAACTACACTCTCTACTCTATACAGTATGCTATATCTATATACTGTGTACTGTGTACTCAGTACCTTATTTCTTCCCAACTAACTCAATATAACAACTTTTATTCTACTCTATTCGTGTATAAGTAAGCGAGCAATAAAGAAAATAAAATCAAGCTATATAAACTAAAAATCAAGGGTTTAAAAAGTAACCAAATATCTAGAGTTGTTTTATTTTATTTTATTTAAAGCATCCGGCGCAGAAAATTTCTTTATCATAAAAAATTCTTCAAAAGAAAACGGAATTTTATTCATCTCAAAAATGTTTATTTATTTTTATTTAACTTAAATAAGTAATGAAGGATTTACTTTGTTGAGTTTAAGTTTAAACAAAAACTTACGTCAGTAATAAATGAACAACATCTACGAGAACGTCGGTGTTTACTCGGTTCAATGGAGTTTCTGCAAGCTCGCAAATACTTCTTAAAAGACACTGTCGACCGTCGCTCCAGTTGTACCTGCAAATGGACAAGATCATTTATTTTTTTATTTATTTTAATAACTTTATTGCAAGCTCTGCATTATCTTGTTACTCTGAAACAACATTCTCAGCAACTTTGATAATTAATCGCTCCACAATAATCATAATAAAATACTATCAGTTTGCTTAAATTTATAGTGACTTGATGAATAATTTCATTATTTTAATTAAGATAATCTAGTAAATTTCGGAGGATAATTTAAATAAATCTGAGAAATAATTAATTTGGAAAAAAATTTTTTTTTTGTTAAAATGAATAATTAAGATTTTATATTATAATTTTATATAGACACTGAGTGGCAAATAATTAGTGGCTCATCTTGACGAGACAACGAGCAAGATGACGAGCTGAAAAAGAAGAACAAGAACAAGAACAAGAAGATATAAAAGGAGGATGAGGACCGATGACAACAATGACACTGCGACAACGTTTCAGCGACGTCAACTACGCTGTGGATAGGACAAGTAAGATAAAGAGAGTACTTGAGTCTCATTTTATGCTTTTTTTTTTTTTTTTAATGCACTTTCCCGTCGGTCGTAATAGAAATAAGATAAAACAGTATTACAACAGTACAAGTAGAATGAAATCGATTTTTGAAAATGGACTTTCACTCTAATTTATCCGTACTCGGATTTGATGCGCAGCCTTACTCGCTGAAACTAAACACTAAATTAATTACGGAGGTGTATGCGTGAAATTGCTTGTAATTTTATCTCGGACGAGGTTCGCCTCCGCTCTGTGGCGACAAAGGGCTGACTAATGAAACCAAATTCTTCTTTTGAATGAAACTAAATAAATTATTTATTTTATCATTTAATAATAAATAAATTTAATTTAATAGAGACAAGTCTTGAAAAGTATTAACTGTTTCTCAAATGTACCTGCTGGAATAGTGTAATTAAATTTCTCTTGGCGTAAATTAATTGGGACACGCTGCAATTTATTCAAGACGGTAGTACTTCACATGCTGCTTTATTCTTTTATTTAATTATACTGTTAATTACTATTAATTATCACCTATCACTTTTAAATATATAATTTCTCATTTTTCAAATAAATAATCCATTTTATTGAGCGATTAAATTAATAATTTACAGAGTTGGAAATTTTTTTCTGAAGAATATTTAAATAGAATAATTTTTCACGGAATTTTAACAAAGAATTTTTTATTCTTTTGATTAAAAATATATGTTTCTTTTTGATGTTAATTATAAATGATTAGTTTTTTTTGTGTAGTATTGTGAGTGCATTAGTCTTCTTAAGCGTGAAAATAATGACTATATTGGCGTGTGAAAAATAATATAATTTGTGGATACAAATAATATAACTGGAATGTTTTATCTGGTATCGTTTAAATAAATTATTGTATATTATTCAAAAGCATTCAGTAGCAGAAATGGCTGAAATAGCTGGGGATTTTAAGTGGGATTGTCGACACGCAAACGCAGCAGTTAACGTCCGACGTATATAATATAAAATAACGTGGGAAGTGTAGGTTAGAAAATTCGATAATCCACTGCGGTACACTGCAAACGATTTCAATACTCGATTTAATTCAACTAATTTATTTTATTATTATTATTATTTTTACTACGTCTATATTTTATATATACTGTAAATAAAATTATTATTATTTTTTATAAAATCTATATTATTAAGAGAAGAAGGAAAATTTTGTGTCCAGGATAGTCATATGATAAAATTGGTTTTTTTAGTCAAATTTAGTGTCATTGCAAAGGTCTCGATTTAAATTTGTGCCTTTTTAAGGTTTCATATCATTCTCACCGATAGTCAATTTATGATGATAAGTATTTAGGCTGCATTCGAAAATGCTCTATTTCTAGATAGGGTAAAAGGCCCCATTAGTGGCACTTTTTCTTTCAATGAAAAAATGTTCTACTTGGAATAAAAATTAAAGATTTTTTTGATCTAAAGGTCTGAAAGATTAGAAATAATATATTCATTATTGAAATTAATGATTTCATTGATTGGATAAGTACCAAAATCAAAGAAAATATCAGTAATGAGGTCCCCGCCACTATAGTGAGGTCTTTTACCCTATATAATTAAGTAATGACCTTGTATCTTGTAAAATATTGACGTCTTTAATGATATAAGCTCATCCCGATGTTACACTCATCGGGAACTTTCATTTGAGTACCCACATCAATTTTTCATATATTTATATATATTATATTATATGATATGTATATGTCAAAAATATATCAAAAATGCAAGTAGGTACTCAAATTAAAGCTAAAAATGCATGTGGGTATTCAAATGAAAGCTCTTGATAAATGTAAGAACGGGATGAGCTTATATCTTTAAAAATGTCAATATTTAAGAAAGTACAGTGCAATTTAACAAAAGTTATTTAATAAAGTCAAATTTTATTTATTTGTAGTTCATAAGTCACGGCAGTCACATAGAGACTGCAAGGTTGCTACTAATAATAATTAATAATAATAATAATTCATATCCTTTTATTAATAAGTCGATGTGACGTTTTCATTGGTGTCGCTTTTCGTTGCTATGGTTACCACTTTGGCAACGATTAAATATTAATGAATAAAATTTGTAAAAATAGTGATGAATTAGATTGTCAATAATAAAAATTTTGACAAAAGTGTGCTCGATTTTCTAGTATTAAAAATATTTTATTATTATTATTATTATTAAAAATAAGGTTAAAAAAAATATACTTACCTATCAAATAAATTTTCAATAGACAAATATATATTATTTAAATTGAAATCGTCAGTGTGTCGTGAGGGAATAATACTCGGTGATTGTAATTGAGTTAAATTCCACGGCAGAGCATAGTTAAATTGAAATCCAGCTGAGAAAACAACGTTACCTTTTTTATTAGTAGCCAACAGTGGTACCGATACTCCGATAGTGAACTATAAAAAATCAAAAAAAGCAAAAAAACTTTTCGTATGTATCGTATATAGATACCACTTCATCAATTCATTGTTTTTAACGGAACGAATCGTGTCTGCTATCAGATGCATGTAAATACAGACAGGATTGTTGAATAATTTAATTATTTTTTATTAACACACTCCTAATAATTACAAAACCGGAAATCGGTCAATTGATAATTTAATAATTTTCCTCTCTCAAATTAAAATATTTAAACTCAAAAATTGCCTCATAATTCCACCGTATGATTGTTTACACGGTAATTACTGTGTATTAATCTATTTAAACATTCATAAATGGTACATTATTACACACCAAACTGGATTCTAGGTTGATTGTTTGTTGTTTACATTAAGCTTTAATTAAATCTCATTAACTAGTCATTGTCAAACAACAAAGTTTATTAATTATTTAAAATATTATTTATGCAGATAATAATTAATGAAATAATTCTTACCTGAAAAACTGAGTTTTTAGGAAACAGTAGAACAGGAAAATGTTCTTGAGCTATTACTGTAATAAAGTTTAGTTGCAGTAACGAAAATAATGATGACGTGACACGTAACATCTCAAATGAACTGAGGTAAAGAATAACGAAAGAAACGAACAGAAATAAAGTAAAATTAAAAAAAAAATAAGTAAAATAAAAGCTGTTCAGGATGAACAACTCACACGAAATCTTTACTCTTTGCTCAAGTAATTGGAACGTGTGTATCAGCATGGTTAGTCAAAGACTCACTCTTCTCTCGCCATTGCGGTTCTGTATATTTTGTAATTATATATATTATTGGAATGGAATAGAAGGTTGTTCTTGCAGCCATTACTGGCTCAGCTGTACTTTTGTCCGAGTCTGAGTAAATCCAAGGGAAAAAGAATTACCACTAATTGAAGATTTACGGATTTAAGATTTAGGGCAGAAACTTTCTTTTATGTTTTAGATTTTATTACATAAATTTCACCTCACTTAACTGCCTTTTTAAGCCTAGCTTGCTGGAAGACATTGTAAAAGCCAATGAAAATTTTTTAAAATTTAATTTAATAACTCCGTTATTAAAACTTAAATTTCTCGAGGTTATTTAATAAAATATTTATTAAATAACACGTTGGCTTTTGCATCAGTTGTTATTAAATTAGCAGAAATAAAAGTAAATAATTTCAAAGTTTCCTTCAGTAATTACCTCGAAGTTGCATTTTAATCAAGTTACACAAATAAATTCTCGGTTATAATTTCATAATTAATTAATAAAACTTTCTTACAAATGAAACTTCCATTACTTGTACCAATTTACATCAGTAAATTTTCGTTCTAGCAAGATACTTCTCCAATAAATTACATAAAAGTTCCTTATTGCATCAGACCACTATTTTCTATAACTCTGTAACTGTTACGGTAAAAATAATAACACGCGATTGTTAAAAAAAATTCGGAATAAAATGCATTACTTTTTACTAGCAGTTGACACAAGACAGGAAAGAATTAAAGAGCTGGGCGAAGAGTTAAGTTTAGAGTTTCCAACTTTAGAATTAAATGTATATAGACACCGCTGGGATCGTGGTCACGAAATATTTACCCGGTGTGTATATGAAATGGATGACTAAATAGTGGTTTGTGGAGATATAGATATATTCTAGCGAGTGGAAAGTTCCGAAAGGTGAATTTCGACAATGTCACGGAGAAATATTGGCGTGTCTTTAAAGTACTTTAGTATGCAAATCTGATAGTACTCGGTAACTCGTACGTCTTTCTTCTAACAATTCGATACCGTATGTCGTTATAGTAATCCTAGTCGTATAATAGTGTTGTAGAGAAATAGTTACAGTTGGAGTCACAGTTGTACCTGCTCTGCAGCGACAGCAGAAATAGTACACTAGTGATAGTACAAATAAAGGGTTAGTGCCAGTCACGGGTAAGGGTATTCTATTTTCACCAGTTAGATATATTCTGCTATTGTTGTATTGCACCTCTAGTATCGCTATTTTTTTTTTTTTTTTTTTTTTTTTTTTTTTTTTTTTTTTTTTTTTTTAGTATTTTATTTAATATTTATTTAATCAATTTTTTATCTATATTATTAAGAGAATAAGAAAAATTTTTGTCCAGGATAGTCATATGATAATATCGGTTTTTTTAATAAAATTTAGTGTCATTACAAAGGTCTTGATTTGAATTTATACCTTTTCAAGGTTTCATATCATTCTCACCGATAGTCAATTTATTATCAGTATTTAGGCTGCATTCGAAAATTCTCAATCTCTAGATATATAATTAAGAAATGACCTTGTATCTTGTGAACTATTGACATTTTTAATGATATAAGCTCATCCCGATGTTACACTCATCGAGACCTTTCATTTGAGTACCCACATCAATTTTTCATATATTTATATATTTACAAAATATATCGAAATGCATGTGGGTACTCAAATGAAAACCTTTGATGAGTGTAACATTGGGATGAGCTTATATCTTTAAAATCGTCAATATTTAAGAAAGTTCAGTGCAACTTAACAAAAGTGATTATTTAATAAAGCAAAATTTTATTTATTTATAGTTCACAAGTCACAGCAGTCACATAGTGACTGCAAGGTTGCTAGTATTTATTTACTTGCTTAATCGGTCTAGACTGAAAAAAAAAAAAAAAAATAATAATAATAATAAATTTGAATCAAGTAAAATTTATTTAATAGTGTAAAAGACCCCATTAGTGTCGGGGACCCCATTACTGACACTTTCTTTGATTTTGGTCCTTATTCAATTAATAAAATCATTAATTTCAATAATGAATCTATTATTTTTAATCTTTAAAATTTTTAGATCAAAAAAATTTTTAATTTTTATTCCACGTAGAACATTTTTTGATTGAAAGAAAAAGTGCCACTAATAGGGGATAAAGGTGCCACTAATGGGGTCTTCTACCTTACAAATATTAATATTAGCTTAAAAATTTTTTTTACTCAAATCTTGATTTAATTTAATGTGTATTTTTTTTTAATTTAATTTTTTTGATTTAATTGAAGACAAAATAATATTATTCACAGCAATTCTATGAAAATTTTCCATTTTTAATATTCCAAAGTAAGCTTTTCCCTTCTCCAAAATAGTTTGTAGCTGAAAAAATGATAATTTTATTATTAATACACTATAAATAAAAAAAAAAATTAGTCGTACCTTATCCAGTTGAGAATCATTAATAATAAAATGTTTAACAATAGCCGTTGCTTTGATAATAAATGTTTTTTCTTTCCAGCTATAAAACACGAGCGAGTAATAATGATAAATTATAAATAAAATTAATAAAAAGTTTCTTACATCAAATGTTTCTTCTGCTGAAGATGTATCAAAAAGTCTAAAATAGTATCAACGCCTATAACACTTTTTTCTGCGATAATTCTGAACATAAGCACGAGAATATGATTTGATTCGGCCCAATTGCTGTGAAGGACCAATATCATATATTTCTGTAAAATAACTCTATTCGATGAGCATCCTAGAGCCTTTAAAATTTCTATTTGTCTATAATTATAATAGACTTTGAACAATCTGTCCCAACTTTTTTGACCAGCCTCCCGAATTCCGTTGCAAAAAATATTTTCTATTTTTTTTATTTTCTCTTGATAAGCGATGCTTCCAAATAGATAAAATAATTAGATTTTATTAACGTTAAAATTATAAATCTTAAAAAGTTTGGTATCACCTCGAATTCTTGGTGATAATCGGACATTTTTAAAACTCAGCTGTTATGAATATTAAAAAAATAATCCATAAATTTTGCCAGTGGAATGCGGTGAGTTTCATGTTGGAGATATTCAGTCAATTCAAAAACCAAACTGTGATTAACATATCCAAATTCCGCGAACGTCAAAACATCGTCAATAATTTGTGCTCGGTTAATTGGATGGATTTTATGATAATTTTAAGTTTTGAGGTAATCCAATATCAGTTTCCAATTTTTGTCATCGTAATTCACGCGATAGTTGCCTGAAATTTCGCGGATAATCATAAAATAAAACTAACTCTGATAAATACGCACCAATTATCTGCTTATTACAAATAATCCAGCTGGTACTATCTGCCGTTACGGGAATTTCAATTTCATGTGAATCGGGACTGAGCCACCAATTTATCGACGTATCGTCAAAATTTGGACTGCTCTCATTTGCCCAACTCAGTGGGATCCAATATTTTTCGCTAAAATTTTTGGTTAAAGACTTTGAGAAGCGTTTCTGAGTCACCACAGCGTTACTTGCCGTGTAATTTCTGGTGACTGTGACGACAGGGTAGCCGTTAGTGAGAATTTGACTCCCCAAAAATTCCTTGAAGGTTACGACGTCAACTTTCAAGACCTCGGAATATTTATTGACGAGATAATTTTTTTCCAAAACTCCGCTGTGGCTTCTTGAAGAAGAAAAAAATACTTTTATTGGGTGAAATTGAAATAGAAGGGGAATAGTACCTTTTGAGTATCAATTCATGGAGCAAATTTAGAAAATTGACTTTTCCAACTACGTGCATCACTTTTATTAGCTTAATTGCAACTAAAAATTGAAAAGAATCAATACAAATGATCGAGCGTACACAAAAATAAAAAATTTATGAAATTTTGCTTACGTTCATTCGAATCAATGACTTGATAAATAATTTCATCCGTTGCATGCTCTGGTTCATTAGTCTAGAATTTATATTCACTAATTAGAAGATATATGATGTAAAATTTTGAATAATTAACAATCGCATTATAACCTGATCGGCTGTCGCTAGAATCAAATAGTTAATTAACCCGTATTGAAGAAAATACTCATTTCCTATGTTTGAATGAAATATGTAGAGCGGATACCACTGCATGCAGATAGAAAAGGCTATTTGATGAGCAAATTGATTTATTGAAGGAAAATTTGAATGATATTCACCGTAGGAAAATTTTTCTGAACTGAAAAAATAAATCTAATGAGTTTTCGACTAAATAAAGAAAAATTTTTAATTTACTTGGCAACAATAATTCCGTAGCTGAAAAATGGATCAATTGGCGGCAAATCAATGCCATGTAGAAGGACAAAATCAAATTTTTTAATTACTGTGTCACCATCGATTATTCTGGTGATATTTTTCATGGCCTTCCAAACTTTCCCGCCGACAATTGATAAATTTTTGTGATTGTTTTCAACATTCTTCAAAGTCCACACATGGTATTCTTCGCCGTAGTAAGTTGAGCACTCGAGGTTTCCGATAATTAAATTTAATTCCCGGGTTAATAAAAGCGGCGTTTTATCGAAATTCGTCCAAACATTTTTAAAACTCTCGCTTGAGGCTATTATTGAATTATATTGGGTATTAGATAAGGCGGTAAAGCTGCGATTGTGTTGGACAGATAATTCCAAAGTTACTTTTGTCGGCTCGTCTTCAAGCAAATATGGAAAAATTTTACATGCATCTTGATTAGATTTTATATTCGTCAATAGTAACCATCTGTTAGATTTTTATTAAAAATGATTCAACAATTATTTTCTCACTCAAAAATTTTATAAAGATAAATAAAAAGACTTACCGTTTTCCTTTGAAACGATCTCGGTAAGTTATGTAAATGAATGCTTCTGATTTATTCTTATAAGTATACTTATGAGACCGCGGTATGTGATTTCCAAAGTATAGTTCCCTTTTGTTAATGTTTCATTAAATCTTATAAACAATAAATTTTGTTTTTCATCGATTAAAAAGTTACGAGAGTAAAATTTAGCTGTAGAATTTATTAAAGCAATATCATCTTTTATTTCAAGACTTTTCGAGTGTAGTACGAATGAATTATTCATGCTGGCTTTGATTTCTATGTCAGTATGCACTTTACCGTTGAAAGTTAAATTATTTTCATCTCGTACATTGGGAGTAAGATTTATCTTGTAATTTAGTGGTCTAATATTATCGAAATAATATTCGGCAACAATAGATGATATCAAAACTTTGTAGAAAATAATTTTAAAAAAATTTCTTATCGGCATTGTTGTCTATTGGTAAAAAAAAAAAAAAAAAAAAAAAAAAAAGTAAATAGAATATTATTTTCTGCTTATAAAATATATACTTACTGTACGTGAAAAAACTTTCGTAAAACTAAACTCTTTTTCGAATGACTTCGTTATCTTTTTCAATTTATAAAACAGGTACATTGTTAGAAATTAAATTTACTTTTTTTTATTTATGGCGTAAGATATCAAAACTGGATGACAATTAAGCGAAGGTATTTATATGCTTTTATGTCGTCGGTTACTGAGTAAATATAAATTGAATTATAAACGTCAATTTTACTTACATAGTAAAAGATTTTGCGCGATTGCGTCAAAAAATTTTGGGTTAAAACTTTTTATGTTAATTTAAATATTTAAGACTAAGTTCTTTGACGCAATGACGTAAAAATTTCTACTATGTATAAACATTTCAAAAAAAAATATTTATACAAAATAATAATTAATAACAAAATACTTATTACAAAAATAAAAAAAACTTTATTGATAAATTAATTTGTTGCTTCAAAATATGTCCTGAATGCATCCAATTTTTTTTTGATTTTAGAAACGGAAAATTTACTTGCATGTTCATCCATGAACGTGAAACGATCCAATTTAGTATGGCTGTACTGAGTTCTCAATCGAATAAACTAAAAATTATTAGAATAAAAAGTATTAAATGTTTCAATTTGTACATTTTCGAGTATTAACAAAATTAGTACATACTTTTTCCACTTGATCTTCAGTCCTCATGGAGAAACTAACTGCATGGCAACTCTCATACACGATATTTGCTTGAAATAAAGGTCTGAAAAGTCAGAAACATAAATTTGGAACACTAAGAATAATAAAATTCCACTCAAAAAATACTTACTGTCCATTATCTTTAGTAGGTTTGGATTCCAAAACATCCAATATAGCATCAACGCCTTTTTCATTCAACAGAACAATATTTTTGAACCAAGAAACTGGATTTATGTCAGAAGGAACTTTCTCTGGGACCCACATTATGAATTTTTTGAGCAATTCAAAGCTTGGAGTGCAAGACAGAGCATTAAGAAGGTTTTCTTCCTTATTGGTTTCCCATTTAAGCATATAATACATATCAATTTTTTTATTTTCTGGACTCTGCAAATTTAATTGATATCTTTCCCACAACTTGTTCCAAGTATCCTCCTCCGCAAAACGAATTCCACTTTTAAGAATTATATACATCTTTCATACACAGAAAAAAAAGTCATCTTGAGTCAAGTAATATTTACTTGATCCAAGTATATTCAACTGAAGATAAAATATATTCTTGAGTTAAGTAAATTTTTTTCTTGTTTTGGTCAATCTTGGTTTAAGCAAATATTCCCTAGTTCCAACATGCTTACCAACTTGAGTGAAGAAAAAAACCTCTTAATCCAAGTAAATCATTCTCTTGGTTTTTGAACTTGCTTCATGTACACACGGGCGTATCGAGGCCCGAGTAGGACAGCAGCCGCGCGGAAACCCATATTCAACATTAAATAAAAATTATTGTTTATGGAGCTAGAGTTCCGGGAGTCGAGATTTTTTTTTCAGAAATTTCCTCCTCTTTAAGGATTTTTTTTCTGATTGTCGATATCACTTATAGTTATTAAGTTATTAACGCAACAAATTTCTTACCGTGTACTTTGTATGAGTCGAGCGAATACTTATACAAATATTTTCGTCACTACACACTTAATTGTAAATCAGTAATATAATGGGAAATCAGTAAGTTAAAAATTAATTAAAAATGTCTAATTGAATGAACACAAACAATAAAAATCATGCATAAGGTTATTTTTTTAAATTTAATTTTTTATTAAAAAAATCTCGGTTTAGTTCCAAAAAATCACGTCGCCAACGTTGGCGCTACTTTCCAAACCAAGAGAAAGATTTACTTAGGATAAGTATATGACATTATTAGTTCAAGAATAAACAAGAACTTGAAACAAGAAGTAAATTTTGAAGAAAAAGATTTTCTTGAGTCAAGATGACTTTTTTTTCTGTGTATCAGCTGAAATTCTTTAATAAAAACAATTAGAAAAAAATAAATAATAACAATAACAATAATAATAAATATCAATTACGGATATTTATCAGGATCATCAAGTCAATTTTTGAGTTTTATAAGTGCATAATTTCCACAGGCACTCGAGCCAAAGATGCATCGTACGCTCACCAAAGAAATTCTCAAAAGTCTAGTGGTGAAATCATCATTAGCTTCATCGGTCAGCAGAATACGTTTTTCCAACTCATCAGTCACCTCCAAAACGTATTTCTAAATCAAATATAACCAACACGGTTATTATTTTATAACAAGAAACCATGAATCATGTATTAATAGTGAAATATCACCTTGAAATGATCAAAGTACGGGGAAACACGTAGAGGTGATTCATTATACAGCTGCTCGATGTAATGGAGGAATGCCGTCCAAGGAGCAAATTCTGTTTCACAAGAGAGATACTTTGCCAGCTCAAAAGGTACAGAGTAGTCCAATAAACCCCAATCGGCAATAGTGAATGCATCGTTAATTAGCTGGATACGATTGAAGATATGAATTTTTGAATAATTATTTGAATTCATGTATTCAACAATCATCTTCCAATTTTTTTCATCATAAGTAACTCGGTAAGTTCCTGAAATATTAAATAGTAAATCTCTAGTCTTATTAATAAAAAATTTTTATCAATTTTATACCAAAGTGCTGTTTATTGACGATTATCCATTGACCAGCAGGAACCGTCACAGGAATTTCAGTCTTCATAAAGTCTCCGTCATACCACTGAGTAACCGAGTAATATTTGATAAATTTAGATTAAACGGAAGAACATAATTCTCTTCTGGCATCGTTTGTGTAATTGCGACCCTTGAAAAAACAATCAAACTAACTGTGTACAAAATAAACGTACTTTTATGTCTGAAATCCACCAAAAAATTTTTTATTGAATGTTAATTATAATCACTCATTAAATAAGTAGTTTGATAGTTCATAGACTTTCTCGAGTTAAAAGCTGCTAGAATAATTTACTATCCACTCTTATAATTTAGATGAAAAATATGAAAATATATACATTGATGAAGACATTTTATTCGTAACGTGATTGGTCAAACATATCATAAGCATGAAAATATAGATAATTCCATACCAACATTCACACGCGCGCTTGCGCGCGCAACGTATACTAGTCCCATAATAAAATTGAGATGAAATGTATGTGGCATCAAACTATTCGTAACGTGATTGGTCGAATATATCATAAGCATGAAAATATATGCAAACTCTATAGTCAAGGCGCGCGCAAAGTTGAATTCTAGTTTAACAAATTTTATTAAATTCTGTAGATCGGTTCTATCAAAAGTACAAATGTAAACTGATTCACTGTTTGACTACAACGTAGCGTTTATAGTAAAATTCATTCTTGGAGTGGAGGAAAAAAATAACACGCAGTACGATCACTAACCGACAAGTCTCGGCTTGTTGTGACTCGTTACAGCTGTTCTTTGAATTTTTCCTTCTCTATGAAAAAGAGAGAGCGATATACTAATACGATGCGCTCTATTCTTTCATTTGTATTGCTACGATTTATCTATAAGAACCCGCTTTAAATGACATCATTTCAATATTTCGATAATGTACTAATGTTATATTAATTTCAAATTGAATTCCAACGGTTATAAACCATTAAATAAAAATAGTCAATAATTTGTACCAAATTTATTTTAATTATTTTATATTTGATGGTAATATTTTACAATTACATGATTATTATTATTGTAATAAATATTTGTATAATAAATAATTTAATATTAATTATAAAACAGTGAAAAAACGGTCAATAAATCAATTTGTTGCTTCAAAATATGTCTTCAATTGATTCAATTTCTTTTCAACATTGGACAGGGAAGCTTTACCAGCAAGTTCATCCAAGGTCAGAAAAATATTTAATTCTCTTTCATGGCTGTACTGAGTTCTCACTCGATTTAATTTGTACATTTTTAAAAATTAACAAAACTATATAGTACTTACTTTCTCCACTTGATCTTTGCTTTTCAGAAGGTATTTAACGGCCTGGCAACCCTCAAACACGATATATACTGAGAATAAAGGCCTAAAAAACAACAACATGAGTTTAAGATCCTAAGAATAATAATATTCTGCCCGAAAAATACTTACTCTCCATTCTCTTTAGTGGGTTTGGATTCCAAAACGTCCAATATAGCATCAACGCCTTTTTCGTTTAACATAGCAATATTTTTGAACCAGAAGCGTGGAATTATGTCAGCAAAAACTTTTTCTGGGACCCAGATTATGAATTTTTTGAGCAATTCAAAGCTTGGAGTGCAAGAAAGAGCATTAAGAATGTTTTCTTCCTTATTGGTTTGCCATCTTTCCATACGGTCCATATCAATTTTTTTATTTTCTGGGCTCTGCAAATTCAATTGATATCTTTCCCACAATTTGTTCCAAGTATCCTCGTCCGCAAAACAAATTCCACTTTTGAGAATTACATCTTTCATATCAGCTGAAATTCTTTAATAAAAACGATTAGAAAAAAATAAATAACTATAATAACAATAATAATAAATATCAATTACGGATATTTATTAGGATCTTCAAGCCAATTTTTGAGTTTTGTAAGTGCATAATTTCCACAGCCACTCGAGCCAAAGATGCATCTTACGCTCACCAAAGAAATTCTCAAAAGTCTAGTGGTGAAATCATCATTAGCTTCATCGGTCAGCAAAATACGTTTTTCCAACTCATCAGTTACCTCCAAAACGTATTTCTAAATTAAATAAAACCAACAAGGTTATTATTTGAAAACAAGAAACCATGAATCATGTATTAATAGTGAAATATCACCTTGAAATTATCAAAGTACGGGGAAACACGTAGAGGTGATTCATTATACAGCTGCTCGATGTAATGGAGGAATGCCGTCCAAGGGGCAAATTCTGTTTCACGAGAGAGATACTTTGCCAACTCAAAGGGTACAGAGTAGTCCAGGGATCCCCAATCGGCAATAGCAAATGCATCATTAATTAGCTGGATACGATTGAAGATATGAATTTTTGAATAATTATCTGAATTCATGTATTTAATAATCATCTTTCAATTTTTTTTTGCCATAAGTAACTCGATAGCTACCTGAAATATTAAATAGTAAATCTCTACTCTTATTAATAAAAAATTTTTATCAATTTTATACCAAAGTGCTGTTTATTGACGATTATCCACCGATCAGCAGGAACTGTTACAGGAATTTCAGTCTTCATAACGCCTCCGTCAAACCACTGAGTAACCGAAGTATCTTCAAAATCAAGGTCTTGTTCATTCGCCCAGTTTAAAGGAAACCAATAACGATGGGGCTTTCGACCATAAAAAATTCGAGGTTCAGTAACAGCCGCTTTGTTCGTTTCATAATCACGAGTGATAGCAAGGGTAGGAACGGAGATAAATTCGCACCAAGAATCCAATATGTTTTCTATAGGTTCTTTTTTATCTCCAGCTGCATTCATAATTTCATCTTTTAATGATGGTATCTTTAGTACCACTGTAAAAAATTATAATAAAAATTAATTAATGTAATTATCCCACAGATTAATGGATTACATACTTGTTCAATATAAAACTCCTCAAGATTTTACAGAAATTTTCTTCGCCCAAAATATGATGTATTGTACGCGCAGTATAATTACCTATAACCGTAATAGAATTATTGTTTTTATAAAATATATATTCGATGATCTGAAAGTTAACTTACAGTAAAATTGATGCTAGTTTCCTTTTCGCCCTTTTATATAAACAATTCGATCAATAGAGCGCCACGTTTTGTCAATCTGAAACCAATTGAATATTTATTAGGATAATTACATATAGCTTATTATTACCGCGATTCAAAAATAAAATAATAAAATGTAACCTTATCAATCACCAGTTCAGTCAAATACAGACGAAAACCATGGCTTATTGCTGACCCAGTTGCATAATGGTCACTTTTAATTAGTTCCCCAAACCAGTGATCAATCATTGATGCCGCAATATTTGTGATTGTTTCAACTTTCTCGGTCTTGTCAATGTTTTCTTTGAATTCAATACTGACATCACTGGAAAACACAAAATTAAAACACTAATAATTTATAATTGTATAGATATTAAGAACTTACTTAATGGTGCAAAGACCCCAATTGCGTGATTTGGACTTAATGAATTCCGGCAAGACAACGATATCCATTTTGTTGAACGGGTGCTCTTTGTGCGTTATCCCAGTTACAATTTCCAGCGCCTTCCACAATTTTTCGATTATTTTAATGTCATTTTTCTCGCAATCAATTGTATTTTTGGGGAACCACAGTCTGAATGGATCGTTATGGTGTGCAGACATGAGCTCCAAGTTACCGATGATGAAAGCAAGCCGATGAGGATTGAAGGCTACTAGTTCCTCAAAACTAGTCCACACTGAATCTGGATCATCTTCAGATACTTTTGATTCTATTACTGGAGAATTAAATAAAACAGTATGAGCTTTGTTGTGTTTTATAGACACGTCAAATTTTGACGCGGTTGACTTTTCCTTCCAGCATGGAAACATTTCTTGTATTCCTTCAGTTCCAAAATCGCTCAATAATATCCACCTGAGGTTACAAAGTAAAAAAAAAAAGTTGCTTCTTTAATATTGGTCAAATAAAAACGAATTTTTGAACTAGTTACTCTCTTTTATCATTATTATCCGTATAAGACGCATGCTCAAAAACTTCTGAAGTGTAATTTGGTTGACTTTTAAACTTTATGAACAAAGTATAGTCTCCGACAGGTAATTCTTGACCAAAATTTATTGTTAATACACTGTCTCCATTGTCGATACCAATATTATAATCACTTGAGTCGTAAGTTTGGTCATCTTTTTTTAAAATAACATTTCCGAGGATTTCCAAATTTTTAGCATGTAATTTTAACTCCGATTTCTCGCTGACATTTTCAAAATTTATCGAAACTTCACCATCAAAAGTGAGCTCATTTGTTTCATAATAAGGCGCCAACTTCAAATTATACCGGCGAGGTTTTACATCAAATTCATAAACAATATCTGATAAATTTAGATGAAACGGAAGAACACAGTTCTCTTCTGACATCGTTTGTATTTTTGCGACCCTTGAAAGAACAATCAAACTAACTGTGTACAAAATAAACGTAATTTTATGTATGAAATTACCAAAAAATTTTTCATTTAATGTTAATTATAATCAATCACTAAATAAGTAGTTTGATAGTTCATAGACTTACTTGAGTTAAAAACTGCAAGAATAATTTATTATTTAATAAATTTTATTAAATCCTGTCGATCAGTTCTATCAAAAGTACAAAAGTAAACTGATCAACTGTTAGACTACAACGTAGTGTTTATAGTAAAATTCATTCTTAGAGTGGAGGAAAAAAATAACACGCAGTACGATCACTAACCGACAAGTTTCGGCTTGTTGTGGCTCGTTACAGCTGTTCTTTAAATTTATCCTTGTCTATGAAAAAGCGAGAACGATATATTAACGCGTTGCGCTCTATTCTTTCATTTGTATCCCTATACTACGAATTATCTATAAAAACCCATCTTCAATGACATCATGTCAATATTTCGATAATGTACTGACGTTAATTTCAAATTAAATTCCAACAATTATAAATCATCAAATAAAAATAATAATATGTCCAAATTTATTTTACTTAATTAATATTTGATGATAATAATTTATAATAACATAATCGGCGTTTTTTCTTTCCTTGTCCTCGTCTTTGTAAGTTTAGAAAAATAGCGTAGTATTTGATTTCTCTAAACGTTCTGCGCACTAACATTCTATTTTATTCTAGGCCATCTACTAGGCAACGAAATACTTTATTTTTGGCGCGTATTTTTGAAAGCCCTTAACTATTTATTTTTTCTTAAAATCAATAATTACTTTTACATCTTCCTTATTTATAAATCCTGAGTGCTCAAGCTTCAGATAAATTATCAATCACTTAAAAGTAAAGTAATTATCTTTTTAATAATCGAATCCTCAATCTGTTACATGAAAATTATTAATGTCTACAAGAGTGAAATCAATCATTAAAGTAAAATTAATACCTAAGAATGTTTTGGAATTGATGATAATATGAATAATAATAATAATAATTTTAATATTGATAATGATAATGATAATGAAGGTTCTCGAGTATTTCAATTAAAATGAGAACTGTTCAAATGTATGTATAGATACAGTAATATCCATTTAGGGAGTTTTAGTTCTACGTCGACTTGGATCTTTTTCCTTTGCTTTTATCTATCGTCGTAGCGTTCTCCATTCGATTAGCCTGCTGGGATATTCATTAAACTCGGCGCACTCAAACCGTTTAAATTCCAAAAGACTTTCTTTTATTTTTTCCAATAAACCGTACTAGAATTTCCAATAGAAGGTAAGTATAAAAAAAAATAAAATAAAAAATGACAGTGATATTTTTTTGATTTTATTAGTCATAAAATAAATTAATTTTTTATTACAAATTAATTTTAGTAAAAGTTTTAATTCCAAAGAGTATAGGATTCTTAGCTAAAATCTCACAGTTGTTTCAGTGTCTGAAGAATTTCATGAATCCGGGGTTTTGGCAAATGAAAGTACCGGGAGGAATGCAGTGGCGGAATACAAGAGATGTTCTAGCAATGTAGCAGTTACACAACACACAACCGGGTAGAAGGATAAAAGTTTATGGAATTATCAAGTTAAATATATAAATATACAAGATGGAATAAAAATTAATAAAGTTGTTGGTTTTGTACGCAGAGTAGAGTTAAGAATAAAGGGCCTTTTTCTTCAGAAAAGCTCCATCGTGGTTGAAAATACGTCTAGCACGGTTCTTGTGCATTCCGGATATAGGGCGTGGCAGAATTCGCCCACGTGCCTGCCGAGTTTTTCCGCAGAATGGTATTCCTGATCCTCGTGGTTCTCGTAAGACTCGGCAGTGCTTGAGGGCCTGGAAATTCCACACAAGCTTAAGAAACATCTCACCCTCCTTACTCACCCCACCTATATTTTGTCTATTTTGTATCACTAAATATCTAACACAAGTAATCTATATAATTAAGAAAATAAAGAAAATTTTGTCTTCGGTGTATTTATATAGTAAAATGAATTGTTTTTTTTTTTAATTAAATTTATAAATAAATAAATTAGAATTTTGCAATAAATAAAATTTGTTAATTTATTTTGTAAATATGGTTATACGTCAAAAATTAATTTATATAATTAAGAGAATAAAAAAATTTTTTAATGGGTATATTTTTATCGTAAATTAGTTTTGATATTTTTTTCAGCGATATTCATTTATGATTTAAATAATTGAGAGAATAAGGAAAATTTTAAAGGAGTTTTTAGGAAAAATTAGTGCCCTTTCACGGTTTTATATACTTTTAGTGAAATTCAATTTTTTATGTCAAGTTTTTGGAATTTTTAATAATTTGCTAGTTCTATAAATTTATTCCGTCACATTTGTCCATTAAATAATTTGTAATTAATCCTGCGATAGCACAATTATTTTTAGAATTTATAAAAAAATTTATTTATTAAAATATGATGTCATAAACATCAAAAAATCAAGTCAAAATTTTCTTACTAATAATTTTTAAATCTCTAGAAAAAAAGTGGTTTAAAAAAACAATTTGCACACGGGATTTATAATAATTTTTACTCTAATAACAGTGTGTGGCACAAATAGCGGAGATGAGAGGGAGGTTTCAAGAGGTAGATATGGAAAATATGGGTAACTTTAACTTGCGTCAAGTGTAGAGAGAACAGAAGACGAGGGTGAAAGGCCACAAGGGTGAGAAGCGTGAGAAAGTGACGGTAAACACGGCGATCCGGGCAATGATCGAGTTATATGATTTACGAGAGTTACATGCCATCCAAAAGGGGTTGTTACGCTCTTAGAGGGACAGGAGAGTACATCAGAGTGGGAGACCAATCCGGAGACTCTTGTAGTTCCTGGATTGTTACGTATACATATACACCAGCAGCAACGTGCTTGGCATCGTCTCAGCATCGATCCAAACTTGCGGTTACCTTCACGTTTAGTTCCTCCAAACTTTCAATTCAGACGATAAATGACGGCTACTCAATTATTACTCGGTAACTTATTAATTCAATTACTCCCCAAACTCATTTTTTAATGCTAAATAATTGCCATTGACATTTTACTTGCAAATAACTGGCTTGAAAATTAAGGGAAATTTAAATTGATTGAAGGGATACTCACGTTAAGAATGTCTGAATAAGTTGGCCGAGCAGACCGTGGTTGTGGTCAAAGGGGGTGTGAGTTACTTGGCATATCGCTTTCAGCAGGCAGACTTTTCCTCCCAATCCGTACAGCTCCGATAATTTTTCAAATTGTTTGTAAATATTCCACCGGGTTTTGCTCTTGTCATCCCGGTAATTTATTGTCCCTGGTGAAGTTAAGTCGGTAACATTTGATGGTAGATTGTAGAGTAATTTCGTAAATGCACCGACGATAACGCTCTCTCGGTCCAACTGCAAGGGCGTACCCAGACCGAAAATCAGCTGACAAAAGATAAAACTTTCAAGTTTACTATTGATAATTATCGTAAATTCATCAAACAAAGATGGTTGAAATTTCAAGAGAAGAGACATTGAAATAATTAAAATGAACATATTTGAGAAAATGGGTTTTCTAGTTAAGCGTACATATTCTTGGTATAAAATATCTCTGGAATGCTAACTACGATAAATTCAATTGCACGTATCCATTTATTATTCAATCGCCAAAACTAATTAACGAACTGAATTGTCCGAGTGTTTTAAAATGAAAGTAAACCCCTGAAGCTCGATCGTACGTGCGAGAGCTTTTAAGTTTGCACTTAGTCTATCTTTGCTCCTATACATTTTAACTCACATGAACATACACACACACATTTATATATTCACTATTCAGATCATACTTACACATGTATGTGTATCGTATTTAGTATCTCATGAACACACTTTATACTCAAGCCTTTTTAATTCACACACTTTGAGTGTAAAAATGAACTCATGAAATCTTTCTGCTAGTACGATGGATAAAAAGAAAATTTTTTTATAAATAAATCTTAATTTAAAAGCGAATGATAAAAAATAAACAGCTAACTCTCGCGTGAATTTTTTGTTCTATTTAAAATACCCCCGAGAATTATCTCCAGTCTCTAAACTACAGACTTGAGTCTATAGACAGTAGAAAGATAAAAAAAAAAAATAATTTATCCAGTAACTTTTTAAACCGCCAGATTGAATGATTAATTGTACAAGTGAACAACTGAACAGTGAATCACGATTCCCAATCTCAATCTCAATCCAACTCTCGTATGTTATCCAACTTTTGTTTTATTTTATCATTTACTTCATTATCCAATACGGTATCTATATTCGATGTAATAATTATCTGAAGATCCACCGCTATTTCATTAAGTACACATTGACGTACTTAACAAGTACTCAGTTAATTAAATTTTTATTTTATTCTACATTTTCGGTAGATTAAAAACAAATTAATAATAAACCGATTTCATTCCGATAGTTTTTAATTATTTATTTAAATACTAGCAACCTTGCACTATGTGACTGCCGTGACTTGTAAACTATAAATAAATAAAATTTTGCTTTATTAAATAATGACTTTTGTTAAATTGCACTGTACTTTCTTAAATATTGACGTTTTTAAAGATACAAGCTCATCCCGATGTTATACTCATCAAGAGCTTTCATTTGAGTACCCACATGCATTTTGATATAATTTTCGTATATACATTTATCTATACTAATAAATGGAGAGCCGGTTTTTCGTCCGGTTATACTGCACACTGATAGAAGGATTTATTTGTATTAAATAATATTTGTTAGTAGTTAACAAATCATTTATTAGAGATCACGTTTTAATATTAAACAAATATTTCTTAGTATTTAAAATGATTTATTTGTATTTAATAAATCTGATATTCATTTATTAAATATTAATAAATTTTTTTAAATACTAAGAAATATTTGTTAAAGACTAACAAATGGCTTCTAATAAATGATTTGTTAAATATTAACAAATCTTTTTAACTATAAACAAATCTATCAGTGTGCGAAAACTACCGAACCGATCAGAATAATAGTAATACCATAAGATGCAGCGTGTTTTGGAGAAGGTTTTAGTATATGATATGGTGGTGATTACTTATCCGGAAGCTATATTTTTTTGACTCAGAAATTAGTATATTACATACCTAGGCCAGTAAAATAAAAAAAGTCTCAGACCACATGTAATTGTTGGCCGAGGCGAAGCCGAGGTTGACAAACATGTGGTCTGAGGCTTTACTTTTTACTGGCCAAGGTGTATATACTATTTTTCTGCTCGACGTAGCCGGAATGTGGCAACTTTGTTTAGCGCAGTGGCCAGAAATTTGCCACTTTCCGGCCGGAGGGCAGAAAAATTTATTCTATTTGACTGTCATTTGTTTAAAATAAATTTTTTAATTCTATTGGTTATGTTTATATACTCGGCAGATTTTTTCACTTATTAGACCTGCAATTTCTTTAACTGAAACTTTCAATGCTCATTACATAGTATATTACACACCTAGGGAAGTAAAGTGAGAAATGTCTCAGATCACATGTAATTGTTGGCCGAGGCGAAGCCGAGGTCAACAAACATGTGATCTGAGGCTTTCCTATTTACTTCCCGAGGAGTGTATACTATTTTTTTGTCCGACGAAGGCGGAAAGCGGCAACTTTGTTTAGCGCAGCAGGACAAAAGTTGCCACATTCCGTCCGGAGGGCAAAAAATTTTTTTTTTCATATCAATTATTATTCATTTTTGTAAGAAAAACACGGGAATGTTATAATGATTGCACATTGAAAGTTACAATGAATATTAGCTAGAATAATTACATGGATGCAAGGTGCATACCAATTCGATAGAATTGAGAATCTGTGCAAGTCAAAACAATACTCTAATTAAATTTCTAGTGTAGATCTAAAAATGCAATTCTATAAAGCGTCCAGCAGAGCGGGCGAGTAACAGCTTAGCTAGTATAATATATATAAATACATGAAAAATTGATGTGGAGTATACTCAAATGAAAGATCTTGATGAGTGTAACGTCGAAATGAGTTTATATCTTTAAAAATGTCAATAGTTCACGAGATACAGGGTCATTTCTTAATTATGTATCTAGAGATAGAGCATTTTAGAATGCAGCCTAAATACTTATCATCATAAATTGACTATTGGTGAGAATGATATGAAACCATGAAACGGTACAACGCCAGGTCAAGACTTTTCCAACGATACGAAATTTAACCATAAAAACTCATTTTATCATATAAATACTCTGGCCACAAAATTTTGCTTATTCTCTTAATAATATAGATTATTTCAAAAGCAAATAAAATTTATCAGGTAAAATAATTTAAGCAAAGTACCTGCTCGTGATAAATATATAATTGATTTATGATAATGGAAAACTTTGAAAATCCACTCAAACGTAAATTTATGAGGATCTTATACACTGCCGGAGCTTATATGATCTTATGAATATTAAATCACACTGTCAATATGTAATGTGTGTCGGCATGAATGTATGTTAAGTAACGATTAGCGATAAACAGCGGTAGTCGAATAGCAACAACATCAACAACAATTACTTAATATTCATGGTAGAGGCACCGATCTTAAATACTCTTATGTATACATACATGATATAATATACTCACGATTAGTTGGGATGGCGAGGGGTAAACAAGACTTCTCTCCTCTCGAAAGGAGCTTTTAGCGCGACTGCAGCTCTTGTTCCAGAAAATAATAACCGCAAAAAATAATTCAACCTTCATTCTAATTATAAATGTGAATTCGCAATCAAAGCCAAGAATTGCGAGTAAATGTTTTGTAAGTCCTTGTTGTTGTTCTTATCAGGCAGTTAGTTTTGAATCGGTTGAAATACAGGCGGTAGTTGTAGTTGTAGACGACGTCATCGCGGTAAATTGAATTATTTCAGTCCGTTAGATCCTTCAGGTAACTCTTGTTCCTCTCTTCTTGAACAAACGCCAAGTAAAGAAGTGAGTTGAGAAGCGTCAACGAGGTACAACTACACTCAGAACGTAACACTTGCCGTTCTTTGCCGTAAACTCGATTAACGACTCTCTACCAATCAAATTTCGCCAGAGTTTACTCTTTTTTACAATATTTGCTTATGGAAATTTCATAAATACATATCGCAAATATTTTAAACAGCCGATACGAGCCAGCTGACTCCAGCAGACACATTTTAAATTATAAATTTACACATATACTTAATACTGTAAATAGTTAATTCGATTATTTTATTTATCTTACGTGTCTTTGAAAGACTCAATTGACAGATAAATTTATTTTTAAAAAATTAAAAAAATTTTTAGGCAATTAAATAATGTTTCCAAACTGTAAATCTCGATTTTTTAAGAAGAAAATTTAATTTTTTTTTTCAATAATAGGTACATATATTGGAGAGTGTATAACGTAAGCATTTGGTACGGACGTTAAAGGAGCTAAAACCCAGGATATATGTTTCTGAAGCCAAGTAAGAAATGTACTTTACTTGTGTATTTATTTTTCAATATTTATTGAACTGTATACAAAGTTATGAGTTTCCCGGGAATGTAACATGCATGGTGTATGATCGTAAAAAAATAAACTCTACGTCATAGCCCGGTTTAAGTCGTAAAAAATAATTTCGTCTGGAGAATTAAATTTAAAATTTGTTTTATTAATAATAAAATAAATTTTTTCAATAAGGATTATTTATTTTCGAGGTTTAATATAATTTTATTAAGCTACCGCGATAAATTAAAGGCTGATATTATTTTTTGATAACTCTTTGCTCTCTTTGCCGTGGGTGTATATAATAATAACATATCGAACAACAAAAATGCCAATAACATCCGATAACTGCGTCACGTAGCAATACCGTCACCCGGTACCGAGTACCCGCGGTACTCAGCTTCTATTTTCTATACCCTCAAATACAAAACATTCTCTCACTCTTTGTTTTCAGCTTCTATTATAACTGTATTGAGAATAACGTTAACGTTACTATACTAGTCTGCCAAACCAAGAATTTTATTTTATTTATTTTTACAATCACATCCCAGTTGTTAAACTTTTATTTACTTTATCGTATACTTTTAATTTGTTTCCCTTAGTTATTATTTTTCAACCGATCAAATTCCTACTGAATTACCTCTGTGAAATAGTCCAGAGGACTTTCGGTGCAATCGGGAAAAATTTTGTGACAATCATTAGGATATTTTCTCCCTTTAAGCTCAGCAGCTCTGAATTCCTGGTCCGTGTGCTCCAGATATTTTTCATCGGTCAGCGAAGGGCTGCAATAAATTTTTAATAATATCGGTGTTTATTTTTGGCTAAATATATAAATATATAAATAGAATAAGTTACGTGAGGAGAATATGAATAAGTTGCGGTAAAATTCCTTGTGATCTCGAAAAAGGGACTGCAGCAGTCTCACAAATCACTCTTAAGAGGCAGCTTCTTCCTGAACTAAAACCCACTAAAGTTGACTCGATCATCCGGTAAATCTCCCAGCGCGAACTAAATCCTTCGGCTGTAATGGAGAATGTATTTATAATGACCAAAAAAAATACTATAAACTAAGTGAGAAGCAAGTACATAAGGGGAGTCAAAAATATCTGAATTTAGTTCTATTTAAGAAGATTTAGTAATAGTTACTAAATAATCTAGTAACAAACCTTTCATTACCAAATATTTAGTAATAGTTAATACTAAATCATTTATTAAAGCCCATTTATTTCCACCAAATAAATATTTAGTAGTATTTAACAAATTATTTATTGCTACTCAATAAATCGTTTATTGGTATTAAAGAAATTAATTTTTTAACTAATTTTAGCGTATAAACCTAACTTTTTTACTCAAAATAAATCAAAATAATTTCAAGTAAAAATATAAGATATTATAATTATAAAGAAAAGAATCTCATTAAATTATGATTTTTTGTTTGAGACATTTATAAAATTTAAAATTAAACAAGTTTTTAACATATCAATAATAGACAAATTGAAAAATTTAAACTAAACTCCACTGAGAAATGACATGTAAGCCATTTTTGGGAGCATTTATGTTTTCAAAGGTTTGATAAATCTCCCAAAATCGAGCTGAATAAAATAATCTGAGTCAGTGAATAGGTTATGTATCAAATTGGAATTAAAGCATAGCAATCTACCCACGATGCTTACCAAAGAAATATTTAGTAACTACTACTAAATATTATTTGGCGGAAACAAATATTTATTTTGATATAATAAGGCTTTGTTTATATTAATATAATTTACTTAGAATAAAAAAATAATTTATTAAACTGTAACAAATAATATTGATGGGTAAAAAATATTTTTTCTCCCAAATAAATGACTAAAAATTTTGTTACTAAATCAGTTTATTACTCCGTACTAAATCCTTCTATCATTGCAATGATATAAAAAATATAAAAAAAAGAGACCGATTAACTAAAATTAAAGTGGTCGAAAAAGCCAAGCTGGAATAAGAAGAGGCTTGGCGTATACATTTATTCCCCGTCTATTGTCTATTTCACTCAGTCTCCTTCGATCTGTTGCTAGACAGGCTCTACCTCTGTATATATATCTATATATTGCGAAAAATAGCCATTAATATGTAAAGTGCCAGAGATTCGTGCTTTATCCATCCACTCATTCACTTTCTTTTTTATTTTTTTGATACTTTCTCCCTCGCTTTAACTTTTTTATCTTTTATTCACATCACACTTTTTCGCTATTACTAAAAGCACATTCGTCAATAAAATCTCTGCTAAACTGATTTAAATTGAATTTTTTCTTTTATCAAAGGATCTACTAGCGAGGATAACTTACCTCAAGGGAGACAAAATAAAGTAATTATTAAATTAAGTAAGTAGACTTACGGTTTTGATAAAAAGTGGATCTTTGATAGCGTATGTAAGGCTCCGTTAAATCAGAGGCGTTGTAAGGGAGATCATAATTGAATTTGACAACGTACCCGATGATCGTACTGACGTCGACATCCATCGGCAACCCTAGACCAGCAATCAACTAGAGAAATACCAATACATTCAATAATAGAATAATAAAACATATAGAGAATAGAATGTACTGGCAGTAGCTTGATAGGATAGCAGAGTTGTACAGGAGACAGGCAACCCACCAACAGCAGAGTTAAATCTATTTACGTACAACTCTGTCGATATGTCTATATATTGTATACATATATATATATATATATATATATATATATATATATATATATATA